GGTGGAATGATCACTAGTCACAAATAGGGTTGACCACATATCCTTGAAACGTAATAAATAAAGAACTCACCTTTCAGCTGGCACGACCCACACACAATATAATTAAACAGACAGGAGCAACCGAACAGACAGGATCAACCGAACAATACAGGAACAGATCGACCGACCAGTGTCAGAGTTCAGAGTGGAATGACGCTCTGAACGTTCTAACCGCCTTATATAGGGTTTTAGATTGTGCCGTCATCAGCTACCTGCTAACAAAGGAGGTATTGTTCTTGAGGCAAATTTCCCAATAGCTGACTCGACGAAATTCCAAGAAACGCTGACAATCAGTGTCGACAGAAAGTAGATAGAGGTACTCTTTCAGGATGTCTCCTAGCGAGCATTATTGAATGACTCATCGGCCACCTGCGTCAGAACAATGGACCCATTGTTCTGACACAGATATGGATGATGCAATCGGATGAGGTTGTTACGTAATCGAACACCTGCAAACAAAGGCGGCATTGTTCTCGTATATTGCGTCGCGAATTATCCAATAGCCGGAATTCCAAGAAACGCTGACAGTGGCGTCGAGAGAACAAAGGCGGCATTGTTCTAGAGGAAGGCTAGATAACATATGGCAAACAAAGGAGGCATTGTTTTACGAAGTCGAGATAAGGATGACTCATCAGCCACTTGCAACAGGCATATCGGGTGACCTTGAAACAAAGTGCTACCAATTGTAGCAATACCAACCTAAATCTGGTGAGCACAGTCACTAGATTGTGACATCATCCAGCACCTTTCAAAAAGAAGAAGTAGAATGTCCACGCCCATGAGCACTAGAGTCCAGAGTCTAGGGGCCTAACTTCAGAGTACTTCCACGTGTCATCTGTCATTCCTTGTGTTCCATGTCATCTGTCACTTGTCATCTGTCACTTGTCTGTCATCTGTCACTTGTCGTCTGTCACCTGTCACTCTTCGTGTTCCATGCCATCTGTCACTCTTTGTGTTCCATGCCATCTGTCACTCCTTGTGTTCCATGTCATCTGTCGCTCCTTGTGTTCCATGTCATCTGTCACTCGTCATCTGTCACTTGTCATCTGTCACTTGTCATCTGTCACTTGTCATCTGGCATCTATCCTCTGTCACTTGTCATCTGTCACTTACCATCTGTCACTTGTCATCTGTCACTTGTCATCTGTCACTTATCACTTGTCATCTATCATCTGTCACTTGTCATCTGTCACTTGTCACCTGTCACTTCCGGCGGCCATCTTGTCACTCGTGCAGCCAACACCTTTCACCACAGGAACGGTTGTGACGTCACTTCCGGCGGCGGCCATCTTGAGCTGATACCGGCCTATCAACACTACTTACAGGTGTTTACACCTAGGTGTTTTGTTTATAGAAATTATTGTAAACGATAGATAATACAACAAATATTATTGTAATCAAGTATTATTATGAAAAAAAAAACAAAAAAAAACAATCTATTCTTACATGAACGGACAGTATTCTATAAATAATTCTTCTGTTTCTTGCACATGATGATTAAGGCAAAAACATAAATACCAAACGAAAACTATCATTCGAAATAACCGAGGAAATAACCTTACCATTCTATGAACAATACTATTCTTATCAATTCTTTCTTATTGCTTGCACATTGGGTTTTTGAAAATTAGAAAAGAAAATACCTTTTCAGAAAAAATAAACAAAACTACCCTCATCATCAAACTAATCTAACAGTCTTCTAAAATTGCAATTTCTATCCGCGTCCACATCATTACTGAAGAATAAGGAGTTGTCACAATGTGAAAGAAATGCGAGCTGTTAGAGATTGCTCAAAAAATTCGTCTATCGAAAAAGTCCTAGTAGTGTTAATTTTTGCGTTACGCACAAGATGCACGATAATGATTATTCTAAAATAGGTGACTGGTGATTCAATTTAAAGAAATTCTCAGTTAATACTTGGGAACTTGACTCAACCACTGAACATAAAACGACAAAACGACATCCAATAACAATAACAACACGTCGACGATTCCGCAAAACCAAGTGACTTTGAAAACAATTTTTTTCAGGAGACATTAAATACTAAATAATGTTGGGTAAACTGATCAGATTCAATAGTAAATGACCACAAACCACTTGATTTTTATTATCCTTACGTTTGTACATTAATTATTTTAAAAATGTTATCGTTTGTGTTGTCAGGGTAGATACTTGGTGTTACAAGTGGAACAAGGAACAATTATTCAGAAAAAGTAACTCGCAAAACTACGTGACTCCATATATATGTTCCCAAAAGGACCCCGCACAAAACCATAGGGAATTGGCCCACAGCGGGATTTGCCTGAAATTCACATATGTTATTGGTATGGAGTTTCTGATCAAATGTTTTCATGTGACCAATCTTCTAAGACCAAAGATTTAGCTCTCAGGGCCGTATTCAGTATAGGTGCCAAATAACCAATGATACTTTTTTTTCAAGCCCATGATTTTTGTATCTCCCATTATAATTTTATTGAATGAGAAATATTGCGAAATCTTGGTATTTGTCTTTCAGCACAAGTCCTCTGTAAAACATGCCTTGTCCTACAGGACCGTATTTAGTAAAACTGTATTTGCCAAAGTGCCGAATCGAATTGATTTTGTAATTACTTTCTTATTTCTTGTCCTATTTCAGTGGTATTTGCAGTTGCAAATCAAGGGCAAGGACACTAGGAACATGTGCTTTTATTTGTAGCATATTGTGGTATTTAGGATTTGCCCGCTATAATCGAAATGTGAATTATCCATCGACTTCTGTGTTACGGGCATATTAAAGATGCCGCAAATCGTCCAGTACAAGATGCAATACTCCAGCAGCTGTAAGTGTTCGGGAATTATGTTGATAGTGAGTGCTCGACTTTTTTGTTCACCACCCTGTAAATATCGGTTTCAACTTTGTTAGTAATGAATTAGATGAAGTTTCAATTAGATAGAAGAGTTATATTTATGTTATAGAGTTAGGTAATTGAAAAAGTAAATGACCGATTTCAACAATCAAAACGTGTTCTTATCTTTTCCTGTTACTATCATTCCTTGATCAAGTTTACATTTGTTAACTCTCGAACTTATTCCTACACATGTGTACCATGTTTTTTTGGAAATAAATCTATTCTATTCTATTCCATTCCTGAAAAGCTACGAGATATGTCCTACCTACATAAAGATTGTTAGGACGACCATCTTGAATATTGAGATGGTGACCACTTTTGTTATGTACACAAAGAAATCTACATTCATCTATCACACGACCACTCAAATAGCACAAGAAATAAGAAAGTAATAACAAAATCAATTCGATTCGGCACTCTGGCATATATAGTTTTACTAAATACGGTCCTGTAGGACAAGGCATGTTTCACAGAGGACTTGTGCTGAAAGACAAATGCCAAGATTTTGCAACATTTCTCATTCAATTAAATTATAATGGGGGATACAAAAATCACGGGCTTGAAAAAAAAAAGGGTCATTGGTTATTTGGCACCTATACTAAATACGGCCCTGAGAGCTAAATCTTTGGTCTTAGAAGATTGGTCACATGAAAACATTTGATCAGAAACTCCATACCAATAACATATGTGAATTTCAGGCGAATCCCACTGTGGGCCAATTCCCTATGGTTTTGTGCGGGGTCCTTTCCGTTTAACCAATACTTATGAAGAATTCTTATTATCCTGTGTTGAAAAGCTTCAATTGAAGTTGAGGAATAACTGTTCAACATATTTGTTCCATAAAAATTAACTCACCAATGAGCAAGTGGACTGACAATTAATTATTAGCATTCAATTACTCCACTGTATCGTTAAGGATCTAAATCAATTTTTGCAAACCTTCTCATGCCCTTTTTATGTGAATAATGCGCTGTTCAGATTTGTTGAATTTCAGAGTTCATTTCAAACGAACCGTCATGACCGCCATTTTGCGATACGTAGAATAAATGGTGACGACATATTTTATGCTGTTTCGTTATTGGTCAGATAATCTTCCATTCCCACTCAAGAAGCAAGGTTGTCAAGTCACCATTTAAAATCGAGTTATCAAACAGATGTTACGAGTCTTGTTGTTGAATAGAAGATAATAGGAGGGAACCCATGATATAATAGTATACTATTGACTTTTTCGAGCAACCAGCATGTCCAAATATTTCTTACACTACAAAACAAAATATCATGTAAATGTTGAAGACTTGGCAACAATGTGCTGAATGCTGAGAACTGATGAGGCACCGCCCACAATTCGTGGACCGTGCACGTTAGCCGATTAAAATGTTTTCTAGTGTGAATTATGATTATTAATATTCACACAGACATATGATAAGAAATAAGCCACAACGGACGAGGGAAATTTTTGAGACAATTGATGTTTTATTGATAATTGGGAATATTACCAATACATGATTGAGAATTTTTGAGATATTGAATAACTGATATTTCTGAAGTTCCCAGTCGTATTTCAACATATGGCAACAGTGCTATGATCTGCCTCTACTAACGAGATCGTGACGTCACTTTATACTCGTTGGTAAATTTCTAGCCGTTAGAAAATAACCGTGGCATTATTGATGTTTTCAGCACTTCAAAATCGACCAAAAAAATTCTAAAAAAAATTGAGAGGTATTCGAATGATGATCCTTTTTGAGTAATAAAAAAATTGTCCACTCGCCTATTATCAGAGATTCAGTAATTGAACACGACCACAATACAAAATATCAGAGACATGAATCACATGGCTAACTTTTATAGATACTTGTTTTTGACGATGCATTTATATTGAGATGAGGGGTTTTGTATTCATGGATTTTATAATATTTCGAATTTTTCGCCAGTTGTTGCCAGTTACTTGGTTTTGCGTTGTCGTCGATGAACAGCTAACACACAGAAGGGAAATAGTACATCAAGTTCCCGTTAGTCGGCTTACAGCAAAACAACATCGAGTAAACTTAAAGACACATATGAATGATTGACCTGCTTTTCTAATTTGCTCATTCATCACTTTGATTTTGGACAGTTTTTGCCTCTTCTTACCGGTGGAGTTGACCTGCTTGTTGCCTCCTCCGCCGCCTCCACCGCCACCACCGCCGCCACCGTCGTCAGGCTTGTCCTCCGGATGAAACACCACCGTCCACCTGTCCAGGCGGATCTCTTCAGCGTCGATGATGTCACGCAGGAGGTTCAGGGGGTCTTCGCCTCCGGTATAACCTGCGCCCCAACGCAACACTCGGGCAAGGTCGTTGCCTGGAAGGTAGAAGCATAGACTACAGCCCAGATAGCACTGTATTTCAGGTCCATTTTTGGTCTGAACGTCCACCACCTTGTATGGAAGTTTTTAGGACGTCCGTTATTGGACTTACTCGGAACGTCCAGAAAAAGGTTATTTTTTCAAAATATTCAATACGAAACTATTTTTGAAACATTATTATTCATCAATAATATGACTAAGGAAAGCTAATCACCACCTAAACATCACTGGCACAATTTTAATGAAAACGCTCACCCATCCACTGCCAAATTATTACGAAACTGAACTTCTGGTAAAATATTATCTATAATACTCAGCCAATTGAGAACAACTATGCCTGAGTTGAAAATTACAGAATGAAATTCTGAAGTGAATGCTCGAATAATCTCCCTTGCACCTCTAGGCATTTTCGTATGCGTCTTCGCAGGTTGCCCGTAAGCGATTTTACTAAATATACTGTAAGCTAGCACAAACCACGCCCACCGTAATATCTCATCTTCGAAGTACTTAGGCAAAACTCAGAGACTATTTATCCTTAACGAACTAACCTATCCCTGATTGAGTGATTGCAATATTTTTGAGGAAGGAAAACCGAATGGAGTGTAGAAACACATTGATTAATAATATATTTCAAAAGTTGAGTTCTTCAACAAAATTGAATGAAATGAGACTGTTTATCCTAAACGCACTAACCTATTTGACTTCAAATATTTTATGAAAAAGAAAAACCAGAATGAAGTAAAAAATCATTGGTGAAAAAGAAAGTTGCAAAAAAAAAGTTCAAGTTCACAGCGATTCGAACCATGGACCTTAAGGCTGAAAGTCGAAAGCGCTAACCAGTAGACTATTTGGGTATATGAATTTACTGCGTACAAGAGATTGACAAAGATAGAGCTTCAGTCGAATTCGTGTCAAAATCATAAAAAGTGTATTCTTGCGTTGGAGCACAGTATATTTAGTGCGATGTGCTGACTCCGAGTATATCGGTAATGTTTGGAGATATGACGTATTATGGTGGGCGTGGTTTGTGCTAGCGTGCAGTATATTTAGTAAAATCGCTGCCCGTAAGCGTGCGCTGGATCATTCTTCCTCTAGCTCGAAGGATTGTATTTCGAACATTAAATATTGGCGAAAATATTTTTTTCTACAAGCGTGCGTGATTCACCCTATACCCGCACGCAATTCACTTTGGGAAGTGTCATTTTCCCGCATTGCGGGAAAAACAAAGATATGATAATATGGCAAAATATAAGTGGTAGGTGATAAAATATGATAGTTTGAGTTTGTTTTTCGCAGTATTAAGTATGTATGTTCAGAATCATCCATCAAATTGCACTATTTATTGTGAAAATTGAGAAATATTGAAAAATAGAAATTGATTATTATAAAAAATCCCCTATAGATTTGGATTGATCTTATGAGAAACGATTATTGTTTTCATGCCAATCAAAACTCAAATGAGTTTGTAATTATCGAAGTGACAGACACAGCGTTACTGTCATTTTCGATTCAGTGGAATAGCCACGATGTGATCAAAAACTTCCAGCTATTGGAATGCGATAAAGAAATGAAAATACCAAATAAAGAAGATGTATTTTTGGCTCATTTCCTAGAAGTGTCTGAAACCTAGACACCAAACACCTTATGGGCCTGCTGGCTTCCGCAATGAACCTATACATAATGCGTGAAACTGTAAGTTCACAATAGCAATTACTGATAATCAGTAGATAGAGAATAATATTTTTCTTGTTAGTTGTTCCTGTATGAATGGATAATTGATTGAACAAATCAATCAATTTCCTACGCTTGTAGAAAAAATATTGTTCCTAACTCATACGAAAAGTGTCTTTCCCGCACTCGACTGCTTGCCCTAACTTCACTTCGCGTCGTTTGTGTCAACGGCAGTCGCGTGCGGGAAAGAATCACTTTCCGCATTTGTTAGGGAAATGTTCTTCGGAAATCTCTGCTATCATCCCTTCACTAGCAATACCAATCAGACAAACTAGACAAGCCCAGTCAGCACATCCTTTCGTTGTCAACCTCGAAAGATGTCGAACAGCACTTTATCAAGACTCCTTCATCCATAGAACGGCTAGGCTCTGGAATTCATTACCTGTGGAAGTATTTCCAGCAACATATAATCTCCAAAAGTTCAAAAAAAATCCAATACCTACCTCCTGTCCCTATCCTTCCTAGTTCACACGATGTTCATTGAACATTATAGGGATTCCCTTTCTTGCGCTCCAAGCGATAAAAAAAAAGGCCACCGTGCCACCCCTTGGTTTCCAATCCACTGATTGGGAATGTTTCATTTAGATACTGAGTGACGACCATTCCATTGTGGGGTGGTGCGTTATCCTGTTGCCACCATATTTGCTGAAGTATAATTAACGGCTTGTCATTAAAAGCATCTGAATTTTGGAAGAAATGAAGGTACCGCATTTATAACAGCTCCTTCATCATCAGCTTCAAATCTTTCGCCATACGCATTTAGGGGTTCAGTAAAATTACCATACAGATTCAAATTCTTGTCCAAATTATTGAAATACGTGTTATGCGGTTGTGGTCGTTCGGGGTATTGCTGTAAATATCTCTCACAAGAAATTTGCGAGTTTCTATCAACACTATAATAAATTCGGACCATATCACGTTTCTGAATTAGAAAACACCATTTTTCATCCCGCAAATTATTCTAAACATTGAACTGTCCATTTTTTGACGAGTGGTTGTGACTTTTCATCTCTGAAATCAAGGCCGCCTTTTCCATTTTCAGTAATATTTCGAAAAAATAAAGAAATTGTCAATTTTTGTCATCGCAATTTGTGATATCTTATAGTTTTTGGGCTATCCAAAGGTTTACAAAAAATTAAATAAAAAATCCAGGTCCGTATTTGAAAAAAATATGTTGATGATGGTGGTATCAATTGATTTCTTCAAATAAGACCAGAAAAAAATAAAAACGATTTAATGAAATTTCGATTTTTTTCGGATATCTCCGAAAGTATTTGAAATTTTCCAAGTTTCAGAACGACATTTCGTTAGACATCAAATTGCGCATCTTTGCCATAATTGAACCGACCCTCTGTATCTCTTATTACCTGTAGCCACCCTGTACATACCCACCAAATAAGTACATATTATACTACTAGTGAAATAGAATGGATGACTTACCTGTTCCGAGAGGTACGATGGCGCACGCAGGTGACGAGCATTGCGAATCTTGTCCAACATTGTCTAAGCACTGCAACACCCAACCGATCGTACCGTCGCCCCCGCACACTAAGATCTTGTAGTTCTTGATGTTTCTGTACAAACAAAAATATTGCTCAAAACTCATTATCAATAATAATGGAACCGAGAGTGACGTTAGAAAACAAAGAGAATGAAAGGTGAAGCTAACCCAATTGTGCACAAGCAGTTTAACAGATTCGACAAAATTCATTCCTTATTTCAGCTTCTAGTCAAACTTATCTCCACTTGTAAACTTGGGTTAGTTTTTTCCTCAGCAGTTCATTGTCTGTATGTAATTTGTAATCTTTACGGGTATTTTTATTTGTCATAAGATCCCTAATAGCACTCAATCTCCTAAGGACGTCCCGTTTTGGTACAATTCAAGTCCGAATGTTCCGGACCTAAATAATTGTCCTTGGGACGTCCCATCCCGTACGTCTCATCCAATGTACGAGCAAGGACTTCCATGGAATGTCCGAGCTGGTACATCATTTCAAATGTCCTAAACATAGAATCCTTTATATAGACGTCCAATCCATCCAATGTACGAGCAAGGACTCCCATGGAATGTCCGAGTTGGTACATCATTTCAAATGTCCTAGGAATTGAATCCTTTATATAGACGTTCCACGAGGTACATATACCCTAACAACACGGGATCTTGCTGGTACATCCATCAGATATTTTCATTGGATGTTCTAGAAACATCCCATTTGATCTTTTTTTATAAACAATATCATGGTTCCATATCTGCTAATGATGATTGACATGATTGAACAGTTCAAACAATTGTGACATTTGAAACGTTGAAAAGTTGATAAAAAATGGAAATCAAAACTGTATTTGTACATATATACATATACCTATACCAAAGCCGGCTAATTTCATCGATAACAAATTGAAATAATTTTACTAAATATTCCTCAATAAGATTACCAAAGTACCTGCTTAACTTCATGAACCATGTAATAAACGACAAAATCATAATATATCTCTTCAGCATATTTATTGCTGTATTTATTTGTTATACCAGCCGATAGATGGCGGTACAACTACGTTGTTAAGAGTTACTAACAGCCGTCGGCCCAGCGCCAACAAATATGAGCCTCAAACAACTGTTATCATGTTCCATTAGTTATTGGACCGCACCGACCTTATATTTTCGGATTCGGATTGTTACTTGATATCTGGAAATAGGTCGGCCATTTTCAGGATTTCAGATTGAAAATAATTCATACCGTGTCATCCATTACTGTCATCAAACAAAAAACATCCTATATAAAAGTTTCAAGATGTTCCATATCAAGTACCCTGAATGTCTCTGGTACATCCCGTATCACCCCACAAACATTCTGATGGGATGTTTATAAGACATCGCAAATGTTGACACGGGTGTTGCCAGCAACATCCCAAGACTGTCGCAAGGATAATAGGGATTTTCCAGAGATGTTCCTATCATCCTATATGGATGTTTCTACGACATCTTACAGATGTTATTGTGTTATTAGGGTAGTAGACTGTCCATGCAAGGACGTCTTTAGCATATATGTCCCTGATGGGATATAATTTTGAACGTTCCTTTAGGAACATCCGTCGGATGTCCCAAGTAGTACACTTTCTGGAATGACTTCAGTTCTTATATAATGTCCCTTCTATAACAACCATGAAATATCCCAGACGGTACATTTATTCAACTATCTCTGTACGGACGCCTTTAATATTTCCAGGACACCAGAAAGGTCCCTTTTAGGAATATCGATCGGTCGGATGTCCCAATTGGGACATCCGACCGATCATTTACCAATTAATTGGTACATGAACTGTTATGATTTCGGAAGAAACCCTCATATGTTCATCTGAGTAATAAGTATATAGGTACGAGCAAGTTATATTATTATTATTATTTCTATTATTGTTATTATTATTATTATTATTATTATTATTATTATAAGATGTCATGAGTGAAACGTCTTATGGACGTCCCAGGAACGTCCTCAAAATGTCCTATATACGATCAATCGGTTGTGTACATTGGCATCAGGACTTCACATAGACAGTCTGTATAAATGTTCATCACGCAAGCGAATGATAATTTTCAATGTCCTAGGAATCACGTTTTACGGATGTCCCAGTTGCTGACGATCGCTCATTGCTCGTGGGCTATAAATACTTCACGTCAATGTCCATTACGCAAGTCCATTAAACATCTTTGGGAACCTTCTTCAGGATCTATTGAGGACTACGGACCATCAACTCACCTGGAAGTTCGCATCTGTTATGTAAGATCTGGTCCTAGGGAGACTCAAATAAATTCAAAGTCAAAATGACTTCGTACGTCTAGGTACATCCTATAACCATTCCAGACGACGTCGTCCTATGGAAGTTCCAGGGTCGTTCTATGATCGTTCTAGAGGACGTCTTATGAACGTTTCAGAGGACGGTCTCTGTACATTCCAGAGGACGTTTCGAAGGATGTCATATGGATGACCTCGGTATACAAAAACAGAATGTTCAATGAACTTTTCGAAAGGACGTTCACTGGATGATTTCTCAAAGAGGTCCAATGTACATAATATCCTCGAGGAATATTCTTTTTTGATGAGAAGTCGGGACATTTGTACGTCCCACGGAGGTACTGTGGATGTCCGCAGTACCAAGAACGCATGTCCTATAGACGCCCCGAATGTCCCGGCGAGACGTCCTATGGACATTCATATGACCTCAGTGTGCTATTAGGGCCATTGAGCCGAAACTAGTCAAAAACAAGATTGGTTAATATAATTGAGAATTTACATTCTCCTTCGGATAAAAATATGTATATGCACATAACATCATTCTGAATATTCAACAGAAAACAACTACTTTCCTGGCTATTTGCCACGTCGAACATTGTATTTCTTCATATCTACAGAGTGAGTCATTTTTTTGTAGCAGAACTTCAACAGCTTGAAGGAGACATTTTTTCGAGACAATAATCTTACGTAAACATATACAGTGTGGTCCAACGAAAACTTAACACCTCGATTTTCCGGCGTTAACATGAAAATATGGAAAATCGCTCGAACCCGTCAATTTCTGATTCGAGGGGGAACAACTTTTCCGCTGTTTTCATCCCCGTGACTTCAACCCCCTAACGGGGGTGAGCACAACCCCTTGATTTTGAATAGGGATGAGGGGTGTTGAGATACCTCATTTTGAAGATCTTATCGTGTACTATCTGACCGTAAAATTTCGCTCCAAAATATCCATCGATAACGAAATGACAGGTAAAATAGTGGAAGAGTACGTACTTTTGTGATTACTTTATTAAATGTTCGAAATGGGCACCATCCACTTCCATGCAGTAATATAAGTTTTGCTGAAAACGTTCACGTACATTACTCAAGATTTCTGGTGTAATTTGACGGCATTCATTAATGATCCGAGTTCGCAAATCATCCAGTGACTCAGGCTGGGTAGCGTAAATCTTGGATTTCAGGTGACCCCATAGAAAAAAGTCCAGTGGAGCCAGATCAGGTGATCTGGGTGGCCACTCAATATGTCCCCTTCTTCCAATCCAGGCGTGAGGAAAATTGTCATCTAAAAACTGACGCACCGGTTGAACAAAGTGAGGTGGTGCGCCATCTTGTTGGAAAATGATCGTTTGATGGTCTTCTGCATTCTCCAATACTTGCACGAGGGCTGGATAAATAGCGTTCTCCAATAGATCAAGATAAATTTGGCCTGTGAGATTACCGGGTAGAAAAAAAGGGCCGATTATGTGATTTCCATAAATACCCGCCCAAACATTTAATTTTTGGGGGCACTGTGTATACACCTCACGAAATAATCGTGGATTTTCATCTGACCAATACCGACAGTTATGCCGGTTTAAAATGCCGTTAAGGTAAAATGAACACTCGTCCGAAAAACAGATATCGAACATGTAGTTTTGATTGCCGTTAATTATTTCACTGATCACTTCACAGAACTGGAGTCGGCGATCGGGATCATCCTCATTCAGTTCCTGAACCAATCGTATCTTATACGGATGGAATTTATGTTTCAGGATTCTCATGATTGTTGTGCGTGAAACACCAGATACATCGGACAATTTCCTAGTACTAACGGTCGGATCCATTGCTATATGACCTAAGACAGCCACGTCCCTCGCTTCGTCTCTTTCATGCACCCTCTTTTTGTTTCCAACTGAACCAGTAGCGTCAAATTTGGCAACCAGTTGCACAACGTAAGCAGCGGATACATTTTTTCCAGGATGTCGTTCGTTAAATAAAGCCGCTGTTGTGCGCGCAGAGTCGTTATTTCGGAAAAATAATTTTATCATTTCCACCCTTTCTTCTACGGAATAACCCATTTTAATTCCACTACAAATTTACAATCGCTTGGACACACTTGTACCGTTCTTAACAATTCACGATAGACTAAGGTACAAAAACAAGGTCCGTCAACTTTTTTGGACAAAAAATTAACCACTCAATACCTTTGAAATGCGTCGGATACGAATAATATTCTCGAGATAAATTCCATATTGCCTCTTTCACTATTTTCGCTGTTATTTCATTATCGATGGATATTTTGAAGTGAAATTTTACGGTCAGATAGTACACGATAAGATCTTCAAAATGAGGTATCTCAACACCCCTCATCCCTATTCAAAATCAAGGGGTTGTGCTCACCCCCGTTAGGGGGTTGAAGTTACGGGGATGAAAACAGCGGAAAAGTTGTTCCCCCTCGTATTAGAAATTGACGGGTCCGAGCGATTTTCCACATTTTCATTTTAAAGCCGGAAAATAGAGGTGTTAAGTTTTCGTTGGACCACACTGTATGCGTGGGAGCTTTGTTTCCGATATACAGGGTTTCAAAGTTTGCACGACCACAAAAGTGTAACATCTTGTAGATATTCAAGAACGCTCGATAGCACCAAATATTTTTTTCGAAGTGAACCAGGTGTACCAGATCACAATTCATTATTTAGAAAAATGTAGGAGAAAACTTGAAAAGCACAAGAGAAATCTCAAACTTTGAAACCCTGTATATCGGAAACTAAGCCTCCACGCATATATGTTCACATGAGGTTTTCATCTTGAGAAAATGTGTTTTATCAGCTGTTGAAATTCTACTACAAAATACGTACTCGAAAAATAAAGTTTCATTACAAGTAAATTATCTTTGGCATTTACCTTGAAACCCATGCAGTTTTCGAAAAAAACAAAAGGCATCGAAAAGTTTACAAATTGAAGAGAGAATATGAATTGATGTTCCATGGAAAACAGAGGCGGTACGCAAAATAGTTCGAGAGGGTTAACTCGGGTAGGACCCCCAAGAGTGTATCATCCTGTTGGTATTCAATAACGCTCTACAGTCCCAAATATTGCGTTTGCAAAGTGTGATAGGTGTACGAAATTTCAATCCATCATTCTGAAAAATAAAGGAAGGAATTCGAAAAACACAGAAGAAATTGCAAACTTTCAAACCCTGTATATCAGAAACGAAGCTCCCACGCATATATGTTCATAAAGGATTTTCGTCTTGAAAAAATATCTCCTTCAAACTGTCAGAGTCCTGCTACTGACTCATCCTGTATATATATATAATATGTGTCAAGTCAATGCTTTGCATACTGCGCCATATTGAATTTAATTTTCAACTCTATTTATTTTTGTATTTTTGTAGATACCTGTAACAAATCCTGACATGTCTTATATCATTGTGTGTGATCTTAAAAGATGAATAAATTTTATTATTATTATTATTATTATAAGGTCATGAAATTTGTCGTTTCATTTGTTAACGTCATTCTGTCTCCACCACCGTTACCAGAATGGAGCAAATAAAACGCAACTTATGTGGTGTTGGCGAAGTGCCGTGAGGAATAATATTCCTTGCATCACTATCAGCAATACATGGTTTAGAAACCTAGTGAGCTATGCGAAATACGCTACTTTTCATAGCAGTTATAGCTCGGAAAAACGGTAACGATTAGGACCCAATCCGGAAAATAATTCACGTAGTCGGTTTCTCTGTGATTCAATATGTTGTTGGAGGTTCTGAATTGGAATCTGAACTTTGCAAACATAATTTCCTGGAGCGTTCCGAGTTATTCGCAAAAAACAGCAAAATGTTCGGACCCTTTTCGTTTTTTTTGCACGTAACTCGGAAATCATACATTATATCGAAAATACCGCCCTATAAATATAGTTGAGGTAGATGAAATTTCCTATATGAAATTGTCCTCGCTCATAAATGTACGACTGAAAAGTGCGGAGATAGAGCCAGTTGAAAATTGACCAAATTTGGGTACTTTAAAAAAAAAGCGTTTCTCGTCGGTTTTCGCAGATAATTCATATCTTACGTATTACTCAGAGACATAGCAACATGCACATATTGGAAGAGCATCAAATTTCCTATCGGGCTCATGTAAGTTTCGTCATTATGAAAAAAGATGAACGGCTGTTAGAGCGCTCGGACTTGGAGACGTATTTTAATCGTAGTTGCCACACTCATGTTCATCCTTTCAACTTATATGATTTGGATCATATGAACCTATGTTCATTAAAGCTCTTAAACGTTTAAATAGGTCATTGTTTTGTTTTTGTATCCTGTGGGGTGGGGGACAATAAAAAATTTAAATTATGTACGCTGGAATTATAGTTGTTATAATTGCGATACAATAATTCCAAATGCTATAGGGTATTCTTTGAACATATTGATAAAAAACTGATGAACTATTTAAACTATCAAAATAACCTATTTTGTGATGAATTGCTCAAGGCGTCAAGGAAATGAGGCAGCTGATCGTCTAGCAAAAAAGTGCAGAGCTCACAATTCACCTTTTTGTTAGATAAGCAACTGCAACCTTATCACAGAGCTCAGAGAATGTGAATGAAGTGAGAAATCCTACAACTGTTGAGCAACTCCAGGTAAACAAGAAGGAAATAGTTCTTCAACAATTCGTAAGCTAGTAGGTCTCGGCAAACAAGAGCTAAAGCACTACCCTCTGAGCTATTACTAAAAAAAATGGGTCTAGAAGACTGACACTCTCCTTCACACACTAGTAGGCCTTCCATCCTCCAAACCTTCATCACATATCAGACACTGGCGATCTGACATATTCGACCACAGGAAAATAGCTTGAATATGAAACTCAACAAAAAAAAAACAGAAAGAACTGAACTGGAACTTTCGTATTTTGAAATCGTAGTGAGGCAGATTTTTAACAAGCATTCGCAGTAAATTCGAAGATAGCCGACAGTGAAGGAAACTCTTATTACTATATTTTCTCCGAATGTCTGACATTTCTGATATTTGTTGCTAGGAAACTCAATTGTTCTACTTAGTTAACGAATATCAAGAGACAGGTAATATAAACAATATTCTTCCTAGTTGATGTGAATATACTTAAGTAAAGTGACAAGTCATGAGTTACGTGCTGATAGAAGTGATAATTCACATGGTTAGGACCCCTCCACATCAGGCAGTATAGTTCGTTTCTTCGAGGAATGAGTAGATTTGGAATTATCTGCGAAAAACGACGAAAAACGCTATTTTTTAAAAAGTACGCAAAGGTCAATTTTCAACTGGTTCTATCTCCGCACTCGTTAGTCCTACATCCATGAGCTGAAGCAATTATATTTAGGAAATTTCATCTACTTCAACTTTCTATAGGGCGATCTCTTCGATATAACGTATAATTTCCGAGTTACGGGCGAAAAACCGAAAAAAGTCCGAACATTTTGCTGTTTTCGCGAATATCTCGGAGCGCTTCAGGAAATTTTGTTTGCAAAATTCAGAATCGAATACAGTACCTCCAGAAACATATGGAACCACAGGGAAACCGACTACTTGCATTTTTTCCAAATGAAAATACCATTTGATTGGACTATTATTATAGAAAAAAAGCCATTCCGAATTCTCGAAGATGTAGATTCATGAATCGGACGATTCCGGATCAAAGTATCTATGGTTGTAGTAGGTGCCTACCTGAAGACGTAGAGTCCAGGCAGCGGCCCGCCGTTGTCAAGATCGAACACCTGGTAGGGGTTGAGCAGCTTCCTGAAGCTGGAGATGAGCTCAAGACCCTGGCAGCCGCCCGACTTCACGTTGACGAACACCAGCAACGGCTGCACGCCTTCGGGGATCATCGACGGCTCGATGTTTGGCAACAGCATCACTGCAATTTCATCATTCCTTTGTGATTAATGAGATCGTTACTCCACAAAATAGTCTGGTCGTAGTCTATACACGGAAAAAGGATTTGTTGATTCAAGCAAAATTTTGCCATGAGGAACTGCATGTACATACTCCTACCACGAATAGAGACCCTTGAGCCGAATAATTTTTTTTTGTTCTGGTTCCCATGAAAAAGGATATCCTGTAATGTTCAGAGAACATTGTGAGAACAATGACCATCAAAAAGTGTCTTCTTCTCTACCAATATACAGGGTGGTCCGTTTTTTAATACGGAAAATTTAACAGCGTATAGTACTCGTTGAAATAATGAAAAAACTTCCCATGAACAAATCTTTTTAAACGCTTCGTTTTTCAGATATTGGGTGTCAAAAATACGCTTCTGAATATATTTTTTTTATTAAAAGTTAGAAACGGTAGATAAATTAACGAAATTCTTCACAGAAACTAAACTTTTTGACCTTTATTAGATTAACCCATTAGTGCATGAAGTAACTTTTTTTCTAATCTCTTTATTCTGAAGATGTATACTCATTCAATATAACCAAAGAATGATAACTCATGACAAATAATTTTTTGTTTACAACAGATTTTTTTTATATGACACGTCCATTTTAATGGACTCCATGCAAATTGGTTCATTGATGAAAGTGATCAATAGGGAATTTCAGTATTCATTTTTATTCAAGTACATATCCAGAACATGAAAAACTCAATAACATCAATCACAATATTATCAATGATAATAATAATGATAAATAATAATAATGGAAATTATACATCATGATGACTTTGGTACATTTTGGAGCATCTCAGATGCAGTCCTATTTTACATATAAAATTGCAATTTTGTATACTCTACTGACTGGAATTCAGCTGATGGGTATATGGAAATGCATGATATCAATAAATTATTTGGGATGATACTTTCAGACCTTTTTTTGGTGCTCTTCACACGATCCAATGAAGGGAAATGTGAACCCGTTGAAGAAAAACTGGAGTCGGACGAGTGGATGGAGTCGTGTCAATAGTTGACGTGCTGCAGTATAACGTGCAATCATTTGATGCTATAATATTTTTTTTCATAATGCAAAGATGTATATTTTCTTCAATACCATCAAAATCAAGATCAGAACAACGAAAGTCGCACGGCTGGTCGATAATTCCTTTAGAAATATGATTTATTTTGGATTCGCAGTTTCTAAATTCGAATAACTGCATTTCTGACAACTTTTCTTCTGGAGGCAATATAATATATACGTATCCGTTGGTTGATCGGTATCTGAGCCATTTTCCATATGTCTGAGAAGTGTTCCAAGAATGATCTGCAAAAAAATCTTGATGACCGATAAGCATAGAGTCCATTATAATGGACACAACACAAAAGCAATATTCTGAGTATCTTACAAAAAAAAATTATTCGAATCACCTCATAGGTTCATGAACACAGGCATATAATGTGATCTTGAGGGATATGAAATTCTGAAATTCATTATTCTGCGTTATAATAAATACTTACCCTCCTTGTCGGGTACAATACAAAATGTTATCCATTTGATCACGTGCAGAATATTGTCAAGATAAAAATTCATGAAATAGAAGCGATAGCTATTTGTTGTTGAACTACACTTATAGTTCTGGCGCATGAAAAATTCAATGCCTGCATGATTGACGTCACAAAAAATTAAAAAAGGAGCGTCCATTATAAGACACATTATGCACTAATGGGTTAAATAAAAATTATTTATGAAAACTATTCAGTGGCGGCTGAATCTGGGGTGGCGAAGGTGATAATTACACAAATTTTTCGGGTAATTATTTTTCATTCATTTTTCAAGATTCAATGAACAAAGCTCGCTTGTAAGATTTTATAACATTTTTTAGTTAAATAATACTACTTGATATCAATTAAAGAAATAGGCTATGCTCAGTTGCTCACTGTTCACTGTTTTGAAGACAAATAGCAGGATATCCACTGCGGTTTATGGCCTGTTGTGGCTCTTCTAATACGTTAATGATTTATTTGCAATAGTTACATGATTGGTTTGGTAAACGGCCAATGCTAACTAGATTTGATGCATTACAATGTTTCTTTCATTGGGTTTAGAGACATGCATAGGTTTGGTTTTATTTTGCCTTCTGAAACGAAGCTATTAGATGAGAAATCTAAGAGGGCAAGAAAATTGTATTTTGAAATGCACGCCCCTGGAAATATGTAACTCATTCATGAACTGTAATAGGTCTAAAAGTTAGCTCATTGATATTTCCACAATAGATGTGAATTTCATCACAATCGGTTATAGCATTTCTGATAAATCAATGAATAATCGATTATTTGAAGAAACTCGAACACCCTATATCTCGAAAACGAAGCGTTCAAAAGTATATGTTCATAGGAAGTTCATTTATCATTTAAACGAGTACTATAAGTATACGCTGTTATAAATTTTCCGTATAAAAAACGGACCACCCTGTATAGGGTGAATTATGAGATTTCGCAAAAGCATCTTCTGGTCATAACTTTTCAACAGCTCCTTTGATTCGTGTGATTTTTTATGGAAACTTTCGATAGTTTAATTTTCATCAAAAAGTTCATCCTGTATATGGTTTTCTTAAACTGTGACAGGGATTTTTCAGAGCACACGAACAAGTATCAAGAATAAGATATTTAAAATTCTCCTCACACTTTCACAGAGAATTTCAAAAAACGATAGATTATAAGCAAAAACGAAAGTTTGACAACAAATTCCATTCATTCGGAAATAATTCGCAACGCATAAATTTAACAAATAAAAGTAAGACTCTAGTCCAATGGCGGCTACTTGAAATGTGATTATAATGTAGTGAAAATGTAATTACAATGAATGTTGCATGAATACACCTTGAAGATTGTAGTAAAACTTCCTTCAAAACATCGTTTTCTATTTTTGTTCTCTTTCTTTCAGATAGTGTGCTAGCTTATTTGTTCGATATTTCAAGATATTTCTGAAGTAAAATGACCCAAGTTCGAAGCATTTCGTTGTAATCTATCATTATTACCATTTCAACCTTCAAAAAATGAAATCGGCGTACCATAAAATGCATAATATGGAACAAGTAATTTTAAAGGATCATCATCAAATGCTTACCGAGTAATGGTTGTTTATCTTCGTATTTGGACTCTCGTAGAGTGTAGAGTGCCCTCACAGCCTTGTCAGAGTCTTCGTATGTGATCACCATCGAGCCGTATTCGTAGTAGATCGGACCAATCTTTGAAAATTTGTTTTCTGAAATAACAAAAATTGAGCTTTCCAAATGGAGTGTCTAACATTTGATGGGAGAGAAGCATCGGTTTCGTTTGATTTCAAACTGTCAGAGTTAATGGTATCATATAGCAATAGTATTTTGACCTGGTATATATACTAACATACCTGGTAAAAGATTCTATCAAGGAAGGGGTATTTCCTTCAGAATCAAAAATGGCTCTTGTAGTACCTATCCATGAAAAATCGTGTTCCTGTAATGTCAAACTATGGGCCCATTTCAATTTTGCCTGTTTTCTCCAAGATCTATAAGGAACTATTCCATATTCGCCTATCCAACTTTCTAACCTCTTTAAACATTTATCAATAATTATCCATTCGGTTTTCGTAAAGACATGAATACAAAGGATGCAATCGCTCACTTTCTGAACACAGTATACACGAAACTGGATAATAAACAACTGGTTTCAGAGTTGTTCTTTGACTTCTCTCGATCGTTTGATCTTGTAAACCACGAAATACTATTGAAAAAATTGATATTCAATTTCTGTATCTGAAATATAATTTTGTATATTCACTAGTACGAACTCATTATCAGTTTATTTTCAATAAATCAGGATTATATGTAGTACTTACGAACATACCATGATTTTATGGGTTGAATGAAAGAGCAGTCACTATTATCTTCGGATAGGAGTGACTGAATTCCGCCCTTACATATTGTCTGATAAATTTTGTGTACCATCGAGGTTTTGATTATTTTGTAATTCGGGCAATATGAATAAAGACATATTATTATTATTATAAAAAGTTATATCCCTATGGGGTCAGAGGACTGTCTCACAACTGGTTGAAGTCATATCTAGCCAACAGGAGTCAGAGGGTACTGCTGAGGGTTCATGACGCCAACTACTACTCATCCACTAAATTCATAGAGATAGGAGTCCCTCAGGGAAGTATCCTGGAACCCTTACTCTTCATTATTTTCGTGAATAATTCACCTTAATGTTTTAGTGGTGGTCAATCTTCTCTTTTTGCTGAAGACCTCTCAGTAATGGCTCATGGTAGCTCTATCAGCAGCCTTGGTACACTCATATTGATCACATAGCAAAAAAAGCCTCATCTTATTGCTTTGTACTGGAAATTGAGACAATTTGTAGACCGAAATATTCTACTCATGTATTGCCATTCATATATCAACTGTGCTTTATCTTATTCGATAACTATTTGGGGAAAATCAAAGAAAGTTGTATCTCTCTTGATATTACAAAAAAAGTACTGCAAAGAATAACTTTTTAACATCGAACTGACTCCAGCAAAAACGTATTCAAGAAGTTATTATTAGATTACCCCCTCATAGACTACTTACTTCAATAGCATAAAGTTGTACTCTAATGCCTTCAAATTAAATAACAATCTACCTGATGATCTGATATCAATATTTTCAAAAGTAAAATAAAAAACTTCTACTTCAGTACTCCCTATACTCGGTAGATGAATATTTCAATATTAAATTTCAAAATAATGTATTTGCACTGTTCTTTCATGTTCTACTGAATATTTTATTTGTCGATATATGTATCTTGTATACAATAATTGGTACTAACTATATAGTAGTAGTTATTAGTTTCAAGTTTTCAGTGACTTGTCCATATGTCATGTAATTCGACTATATTTGGAATGAATAAAATAAAATGAAATTGTAGCGAATATGTTCAAGTATTTAAATCCACATGTTGAGTGTTTCACACTGGTTCATCGGCTATTATTTCTCGATAGGGGTGAAATATTCTCGGAAATATTGACGCTCTTCCACTAACTCAGATCAGTTTAAATCGCGGCACGTTTCGATATTCGCAAAGGGAACATTATCCACTTTTATTTGCTCAATGTTTCTACTCTTTGAAACATGACGGAAGTGTGTCCTCAATAATGACAGCAAATAAATCGATGTGCCATGGATTTGTCTCAGATTAAGGGATGGCACAGGTACGTTCTTGAGATCTATCATTCAATTCAATGTTTCAGTCATTTGCTCATGATAGTACAGGTGCCGTTCGATAAAATACAATAGTTTTACATGCCTCTGGGACAAATTCAATTAGTTATCAGAAGACGGTCGGAATTTGCAGCCGACTCTTGGATTATAAATTTATGACACAGTCGATAGGACGATTCTGAAATATTCAGTTTGTTCTTTCGAATCCAAAATTCCAAATCAAGTTATGTTTCTTACCCTTTCCTAAAAAATCGGTGAGGATATTCTCGTAGTTGCGCTCGGACAAATTCGGCGGCAGATTGCCGACGAACAGTGCCAAATTGGGGCCGTGCGGATCTTGTTTGAGTTGCAGGTAGAACCGCATCAGCTCCATCTGTCTTATGCTGTCCTTGCCCAGCTGCTTCATTATCTCCCACGGACGTTCGTTCCATGACAATACCCGCTCGGTAACTAGGAAATGAAGAAATGTGTCAAGTAGGGTATACTTGTTAGATACTGTCCCTCTACAAATATATTGAAATAATACGAATACTTTCATTTTATAGAAATGAGGAGAGAAAATCCCAAAGAATCAAGTAAAATGAATATACTTGTTAGATTAGAGATTACACAGAAAAACTGTAGATGCAAATAAAATTATAAATAACTTGATAAACAGACTAGTTATACCGCCAACAGTATGACATACATTACAGGGTTACTGGTAATTTGATACATTTCTTCGTAGATTTGATAGGGTAGGTGGTAAGAAGTGTAAACATCAATATGCATTATGCAAAAGTAAACAGTTTTTGAGATTTTCAATTTTTCTTCTTTTTCTCCAAAAGGTAACCTCTAATGGTTTGAAAGTTATTCTCCCGAAAATCTGCTTCAAATTTTTTCAACCTTTCAATTAGAATACATGATCAACACCATCGTCCTACGTTTTAAATGAAAAAATTCCAGAAATAGTTCAGATCATAGATACATTGTAAATGCAAAGTCGTATTTGTGTTTGTGAATAAATAAACAGATAAATAGAAAAATGTAAATATCCCAAAAAATATTCACTTTTACAGAATGCATATTGGGGTTAAATTCACTCCCTACCACCTCCGCTATCACATCTCCACACGTTGCAAGTGAATGAGTATTTCCAACACCCTCCCTCAACGTGAGCTATCTTCAGTGAGTCCTATATCTCTTAAATGCTTCTCGAACTTATCCTTGAAAAGTCCTTTAGTAAAAATGTCAGCAGACATTTCTTCGATAGGTTAATATTCCACTTCGATTTTTTTCTTCTCAAATATTTTCCTGATATAATGATGACAAATATCGATGTTCGTGAATGATGAATTGGGTTGCGCATCAGTTTTTGTGCTCCTTATTGGTTGCCGCAATGAATTATAGTAGGAGGTATTCTGCCTCGGTACTAAACAAGGCGACAGATTTTTGTTTTCTAGCTTCCCAAGTGACAACTACTCCTGCGAGGGTGAAAATAAAACCGGCGCATGACTTTCGATCATCTAAGTTTCCTCCCCGATCAGCGTCTATAGGTATATATATCCAATAATTGGAGTTTTAGTTTTTTTGTAGTGCAGACAACGTCCTTCATTCTTCAAATATCTGAAGACTCTTTTTACTCCTATCCAATGTTGTTGTCCAGAATGATGGTGGAATGTGCTTAACATGCTCACCGCGTAAGATATATCAGAACGCGTTGACACAGATATAGTATATTACACACCGAGGTGGGAAGTGATTCATTCTTGTCGTGAGATTAGTTGGTTAACCGAGACGGAAAGCTATGATCTCGAGACAGAAATGAAACTTCCTACCGAGGTTTGTATACTATTTTATTTACAACCATCATATTTCGATCAGTGGCAGGAATTGAGGGCGGGAAGTAGTGAAGGGGGGAAGTGAAGGCGAGAAGTAGAGGTGTGTGAATGTGACACTTCCCAACCCTCAATGACGTTAGTAATGACAACATTACATAATATGGTTGTGAATAAAATACATTATTCGCGATAAAAAATAACACGTCGCCCCACCTGCCGGCAGCCCCTTGAACACTTCTGAGTGGTTTGCTTTGATGATACGACCAATAAGCACAAACAAGAAACAAATGTAGTGAACCAATGGAAACAAAGTTTGACAGCTTTCAAGAACTCCGATAGGGTAGATTCTTCATTTCGCTGATTGCTGATTCAGTCTTGGTTCTCGTTTCCTTGGTTAGTTTCAGACTGGCGTCTACTGGAGTTTGTGCTAGTTTTTACAATCAGAAATGTTGAATTTATCTAATATATCTGATATATACTCATGCTGAGACATTGATACTGACTTAGTTGGTCATCTTGATGAAATTCAATGCCTAAAAAGCAATTTAATAATAATAGATATTTTATTTTGAATACAGAACTAGAATCTTTCTTCAGTTGGTTATACATAATATCTAAATTACTGGCTATCATTGAATTGTCGACATATACGGCAATTATCGATATTAAACATATATTTACATTTATTAGTGTTTATAGATTTCAGACAGAAACTTCGAAGGTATTGGTCTAATTTCTTATACCGTTGTCTACCAAATTGATTTAATCCATTTATTGATTGGTTGAAGTTGGTTCAACTGTAAGAAAAGCTACTCCGAAGTCCTGACGATTTCTGGTAGTAGGTTCGGTTATCTAGTTATAAGGGGGGTCAAGTTTTCGTTTAAAAACCCTGTATTATCATTTACCTCCTCTGTCTAACAGCACCTCGCTGCATCGGTAATCCTCGGCGTTGTAGTCGTCGAGGCCGAAGCGGTTGAGCGCCTCTCGAATCAAGTCGCCCACCGTCGAATTGAAGTCCACCGGCACGGTGCAGAATGCCTGCGAGACTTGCAATTTGCCGGGGTACACACGCACCTCGCCGCTGTCGTTGTCACGGTCCCTAAAGAACACAAGAGAATGTACTGTCAGTTGCCTTCAGCAGATGGTTTCCCATGTTATTTATTCATTTATTTATTGAACAATTAACTTCCATACTGGATAGGCTCTGGTATTAGGAAGTACATAACTAAATACCTATAGGTAAACATATCATCATTCAAAATATATCAACAACTGTAAATTGGCAAACAAAGAATAATATTTGTAAAAAATGGCATGGTTAATTTTATCCAGTTCGCTTAAAAATAATCAGTTTTTTTACTTCATTTTTGAATGTACCTATATTTCTGCAGTTTTTATATTTCCAGGTGGTTCATTGAATTCAGTTAAGGCTGAATGAGTGATTATGGAGCTAGCGGCATCAAGATGAAACAAGTTGTATTGTCTAGTTTCATGATTATGAATTTCAGGATTCCGTATCAAAATAATATTCGACTTAAATTTTTTATTTATGATATTATATGATACTTCAAGAGTTTCAATTCCATATATTTCAACTGAAGAATACGTATTTGTTATTTCATACAATTGATTGGTAGGTGTATCAAATGGGAGACGATACAATACTTTTAACGATTTTTTATATAATGTTGATATTTTTATGAAATTATTGTTTGAACAAGATCCCCAAACATTTATTAAATAGTTGATACGACTCAGAATATGAGAGTAGAGAATCATGTTTGCAATTTTGATATCAAGTTTGGGACATTTTCTCAATGCACCAATAATTGAAGATATTTTTTTGTCAGAACATCAATATGTTTGTCCCACTTCAACCTGTCATCAAACCGGATACCAAGATTTCTTATCTGGTCAGTTTTTTACAAGAGTTCATTTTCTATTTTAAGGTTGAGATAAATTTTTTTGGGGAAAATCATATATTCTGTTTTGTTAGTATTCATCAATAAAAGGTTAGAGTGGAGCCATTTTTCAAATATTTTCAAGTCTCCATTCATCATATTTTCTAAATTTGAAGGATTCTTGCCTTCCTATGAAAGTACTCTATCATCTGCATACATGATATATTTACTCGCTAGACCAATTTCACTGATAGTTTGAACATAAAGTAAATATAGTATAGGTCCTAAAACAGAGCCTTGTGGGACACCCTTATTGACTGTTAGTTTATTTGACACAGAGTTGGTTGATTTTGTATTGATTGTCGTATTTTCATGATACCTATGAATTCGAAATATTTCTCACAGTGCCTCTGAGTCCAATTGTTTCTAAGTTTTGTAAAAGTGTTGCATGATCAACTGTGTCAAAAGCCTTTTTGAGATCAATGAAAACAGCTACCACATAATTTCCTGAATCAAGTCCTCTCTGGATTGTTTCTATCACTTGTAATACTGCTGCTTGTGTTCCATTGTTTTCTTGAAGACCAAATTGATCAGAACCAAAGCTATATTTTTTGTTGATGAATTGTACAATGCGTTTCTAGAGAATTTTTTCAAAAATTTCATAAAATGTGCTTATTGAAGCTATTGGTCTTCATAATATAACTTCTTCTACTTCCCCATTAAAAACGAACATCCTTGGGATGTCACATTCATGTCATGTCATGTCATATGTGTCATGGTAACAATGCGGATTACGTGAAAACATCATTGGTTTTGCCAGGAGACCCTTTTTATTCCACAATTTTTGCAATATTAATCACATTTCATTAGATTTGAGACTCAAAATTTAGGTGAATTTGTGAGGCTCCCTAACAACCAAGAGACTCACTGGAACCTCACATTATTATTCATTCATGTAACAAACGGAATCAATCAATTTTGATGCTGAACGAGGAGTCGCTAAATACGTACTGTGAGTTTCATTTGGCATCATGATGTGAATCATAAAATGACCAAAAGGATCAAGAAATAGCAGTCATTGTGATTTCAGTGGAACTCTCAATTCGAGTCACGGATGTGATGTGTGGCATGAGTGTGATGCCCTCTTATATCTCTGGGATCAATATGTGTTAACTGGGTTGGTATCATAATACGCAAAATTAACATCTGCTACCGGTTTATTGATATTATTCCTTTTGAGCAGTATTTTTATTATCGATACAGATTACGTATTTTTCATTATGAAACGAATCTTTGATCTGCAGAATCACATACTTGGTGATGATGAAGTGGTCTACGTTTCTCAAAATGGAACACCCCCCTTATTTCATTTCATTTTATTTATTTATTTATTTATCTATTTATTTCTTACACTGTTCAACAGGTTGTCCCATTTACAGAACAGGAAAAAAGGACAAAACAAAAACATATGCATTGCATATTACATAAACATATTGGATAGACGAAACAATATGACCAAATAAGAAAATCGTGACTATCTAGTTATTCACTGATGAAGGAGAAGGAAGATAAGAAGTTTTGACATGAGTTATTCCACAACTGAACAGATCTAGATTTTAAGCTGTCGTAGTTTGAACGATTATTTGATTCAAAGAACTATATTAGAACATTACAACATAGAAAGTCTCTGACCATTTAAGATATGTCAATCAACTGCCAAATCCCCGTCATCCCTTGTCAGACCATCCCTTGGCCGCCTTGGTTGAGACTCTGATGACTGAACTTTATATAGGGAGTGATACTACATTTCGTCTCCCTCCAACAAATGCATCAGGTATTTCGTATATGTCGACACGAAAACGAGCAGGTACCACTCGAGGCCTTGGAGGATTTGGCCTTGAATGCAATGCCATCTGCTTATTGACTCAGTCTAGGGAAGGACACAACATCGCTACAGGATACAGTGATATCTGAGAATTGACTTGGCCTAGCCATCAATTCAATATCATTATTTGAAGGAGCGTCATTTTGATTCTTGCGAGGTCGTAGTCGGTCTGCATGTTTTCTCTTATGTACTCCCCGTACCACAACTATGTAGTAAGGCGCTGTTTGGCGATTACCTTTCCAGGGATAGAACCTCTCTTCGAAGGGATATACCCACACAAGTTCATCCTGTTCATAATAGCGCTCCTTAGTGCCTCGGTCGTATGTTTTTGCTTGATTCAACTTTGAATGTTTCATGTTTCTCTGTATGTCAGGTTTCAGTTGGTCGAAGATACCCCTGAGCCTCCAACCAAACATTGATTCGCTGGGACTCCTATCCCCTATATAACAACACCGGATCTTGCTGGTACCTCCCGCTAAGGTCCTACAAATGTCCCAATGTTTCAGACTTAGGTACGATATCCCAGAGATGTTTCTCTTGGGACATCCATCAGATGTTTTCATTGGATGTTCTAGAAACATCCCATTTGATCTTTTTTTATAAACAATATCATGTTCCATATTCGCTAATGATGATTGACATGATTGAATAGTTCAAACAACTGTGACATTTGAAATATTGAAGAGTTGGTAAAAAATGGAAATCAAAACTGTATTCGTACTCATATACTTATACCTATACCAAAGCCAAAGCCGGCTAATTTCATCGATAACAAATTGAAATAATTATACTAAATATTCCCCAATAGAATTACCAAAGTACCTGTTTAACATCATGAACCATGTAATAAACGACAAAATTGAAATATATCTCTCCAGCATATTTATTGCTGAATTTATTTGTTATACCAGGCGATAGATGGCGGTACAACTACGTTGCTAAGAGCCGTCGGCCCAGCGCCAACAAATATGAGCCTCAAACAACTGTTATCATCTTCCATTAGTTCCATTAGTTATTGGACCGCACCGACCTTATATTCTCGGATTCGGATTGTTACTTTATTATATCTGGAAATAGGTCGTCCATTTTCAGGATTTCAGATCGAAAATAATTCATACCGTGTCATCATCCATCACTGTCTTCAAACAAAAAACATCCTAGAAGTTTCTTTAAGATATTCCATATCAAGTACCCTGAATGTCTCTGGTACATCCCGTATCATCCCACAAACATTCTGATGGGATGTTTATAAGACATCGCAAATGCTGACAAGGGTGTTGCCAGCAACATCCCAAGAATGTCCCAAGGAAAATAGGGATTTTCCAGAGATGTTGCTATCATCCCATATGGATGTTTCTACGACGTCTTACAGATCTTATTGTGTTATTAGGGTCTGTCGAACGTTGGACTGTATTCCTGTGTGACAATAAGACATTGCTCAAACGTTTGTGCTGGTCAGGTTCGTCTATTACGCTCATTCTGTCTTTGAAAGTTTTGACCATACGCTCCGCCAATCCATTCGATCTAGGATGGTATGTTGCCAACCTCGAAAGATGTCGAACAGCACTTTATCAAGACTCCTTCATCCATAGAACGGCGAGGCTCTGGAATTCATTGCCTGTGGAAGTATTCCCAAGAACATATAATCTCCAAAAATTCAAAAAAAAGTCCAATACCTACCTCCTGTCCCTATCCTCCCTAGGAACGCACGATGTTCTTTGAACATTATAGGGATTCCCTTTCGTGCGCTCCAATCGATAAAAAAAAAAAGGTGAACTGTGGGCTGTTGTCAGAAACAATGATTTTCACTAATCCGGAACCGGCAAAAATGTCACAAAGAGCTGTTATTGTTGTTGCTGTGGTGGTATTATTCACTGGAATTACTTCAAGCTATCTAGAATAAGTACTGACAACTTTTAGCCACATCTTTCCCCGGAAAAGGCCTGCAAAATCCATGTGAATTCTGGCCCATGGTTCGGCTGGAGCAGCCCATGGATACAGTGGTAATCTCTGTTCATTTTCTCGTGATTCTTGGCATAGAGCGCATTCTTTAACGAAATCGATGATAGACTGATCTATCTCTTCGGCCTATATAGACATGGATCCTCGCTAATAAGGACTGCATAGCATTGATACCCGTATGCCCGTCATGAAGCATGTGTAGTACCTCTGTTCGCAAATCATCTGGTATGCAAATTCGGCCTTTCACAGTAGAATACCTTCTTCAAAGGATAATTGAAACTATCAAGTTACAATATGAAGCTAATATAGAAAAGAATTATCACTGACCTACCCAGAAGCAAACGATTCGGTGAAAGCATGGCATAATTCATTTCAAATAACTCTTCAATACCACCATGGCAAAATCAGGAAGGAACACAGCAATTCAAAAATATTCAGTATGAGGTACCGCGCAGTATAAAGGGTCAAAGAGAAATCTAATTGCAAATATTATCGAATTAAAAAGAGACTACAGGTACTGGTTGCCCGATACAGATTTGGTAGCGCTTAAAATCTTTTGCGTTGTATCGCGTACAGGGTGATTGACTATGGATTTCTCGACTTCAACAGCTGATATCTCGAAAACGAAAAAAGATATTTGAAATTTGGAAAAAGGTACTTGAATGAGATGTCATTTCCTTCTAGAAAATGTGTTCTCTGCTTGATTTCATCATTTCATATACAGGGTTCGTGAAAAAAAAATTTTTTTTCAAATGGAACCCCCTGTATATTATCGCATATTTCGGAAGAGCTATCTTTCCTGATTTCGAAGATATATACTTTTCATATATTCTATCGAGGGCTTGACGAAATATCAGCAAAATTAAATATTAATATTTGGTTTTGGGTGTATGATAAATTGCTTTATATATATATATATCCATTTTTGTATGTTCATAATTTATCTGAGAATATTCCTTTTCAATATTTGGTCCAAGTTAGCTATGGTTGAAATATAATGAGATGATGAATAAGTAAATTGACATTTGGCCAACATTCCAGTGCGCAAAATTTCGACAATTTTCTCACGATGCCATATCCACTGGAACAAAGAAGAGATATTTTGGAGTGCTATTTTTCAGTTAATAAAAATCTTGCTGAAACACTTACACTTATACTTACTCAAATTTAATCTTTCAGATATGAAAAGACAAAATTCAATCCGCTTCTCATTATCATCATAATTGAGTTTGTGGCATGGTCTAATTCTGAAATCCCTATATTTATATTACCTTAAGGTATGTTGAACAAAATAATAGCTGAAACCAAACTCTCTCAATGCATTTCTTATTGACCATGAAGGATCCTCAACAAAATACTGGATTACAAGAAGTTCCTCGTCTTCGTTGTCTTGTCTTCTCACTATTCTCTTGATATTCGACAAACTGGAAGTTCTGTCAAATTCAGCAGCCAAATACTTTACATAATTCTTACTTGGTAATCTCCTGCCTGAATAACTCCTCATGAACTTATGAAGTGTTTCAGCAAGAATTTTATTAACTGAAAAATAGCACTCCAAAATATCTCTTCTTTGTTCCAGTGGATATGGCATTGTAAAAAAATTGCGCACTTATGTCACTAAAATGTTGACCAAATGTCAATTCACTTATTCAACATCTCATTCTATTTCAACCATAGCTAACTTGGACCAAATATTAATATTTACTTTGGCTGATATTTCGTCAAGCACTCAATAGAATATATGAAAAGTATATATTTTCAAAATCAGGAAAGATAGCTCTTTCGAAATATGCGATAATATACAGGGGGTTCCATTTGAAAAAAAAATTTTTTTTCACCTACCCTGTATATGAAATGATAAAATCAAGCAGTGAACACATTTTCCAGAAGGAAATGACATCTCATTCAAGTAACTTTTTCCAAATTTCAAATATCTTTTTTCGTTTTCGAGATATCAGATGTTGAAGTCGAGAAATCCATAGTCAATCACCCTGTACAATATATTCTTGTGGTTAGGTTACTAGTGAATGTTCATCACATAAAGGGTTGAAATTTGGCAAGATAGTTGATTTTTTAGCACTTCCACGCGCTATTCCTTCCGCGTCATTTTGTCACTTGCTATTTCATCGAGCGCTGTTCAATCAGCGCTCAATTTTAATTCGGAAGGTAGATACGGTTTTTCTGAGACCACAACTACTAGCAACTATTCTGATGCTCACTTGAGTCTGAGGAAAACAGCCGGCCGCTTCCCCTCTTTCCTGTGCAACCTCATCACGGGCGCTGGATCGCGCACCACCGCCTCCTCGGGCGAGTACAAGTCGGTGAGATGGAACGACTCGGGATCCTTGGTCACGTGGAAGGCACGCAGCGCTTGCGTCAGCACTTGTTGCAGACTGGCCTGCCGCCAAACGACGATCGTGCGGAAAAGGCGCCGGCGCAGAGAAGTGTTGCCATCGTACACCTTTATCACCTCTGGAAAAAATTAAAAGAAGTCATTCATCAGTCTTCGACCAAATAACAATCGAAACCGCGAATCAGTCATAATCCATTCAAAGATATACGCCATCACAATGGAATTGCGAATGGTGGGATAATTCTGCGGAATCATTAACAGATAGTTAGTATTCCTTGTGGATATCCTTGGTCACGTGGAAGGCACGCAGCGCTTGCGTCAGCACCTGTTGCAGACTGGTCTGCCGCCACACGACGATTGTGCGGAAGAGGCGGCGGCGTAAAGAAGTGTTGCCACCGAACATCTTTATCACCTCTGGTAAGAATAGAGGAAAGTAATATATCAGTCAGAAGGGGTGAAGGAACTTACAGTCACAACTCCACCACATGAATAATTCAATGATGACCGATGGTCATGGACATAAGGACATGTTTCGAAGGATTAATCCTTCATCATCAGCAAAATTTATGAAAAGAAAATATGTAAGAAGAAACAACGCTTATGTTAGTTTTTAAGTATTGATTAAAAATCTAGATGTACCTATCATTATTGGTCACCTCAAAATCCAAAAATTTATCGAACTAAAATTGAATTTGAATAATTAGATTATAAACTTATTTGCTTCTATTGTTCAGAGATTTCGCAGATGTCATAATGAAGAAGGATATTTTCCTGATTCATGTGAATATTAATCAATTGTATTTGTGCTCTCCTTCTAATCATGACAAAAAATTGATTCATCGTATTCATTGAAATGATATGCTGGGTGCAGGGAAGATGAAGGGAGTCTTTTGTTATCAAATCATACTAAAAGGTGGAGGAAATATCACAAAACATGCCCCCTCGAAATCGTCAGATTCTTCAGCGGACTTCATTGAATTGAAGGGATTGCTATGAACAAAATCCCTCGAAAGAGAGATTTGCAAAAATAATGATCATAGTCTACTCATAGTATCTGATGAGTCATTTAATTTGCTTTTTGTTTCTCAAAATCAGACAATTGATAGAGCGGAGCTTTGTCTTGGAGCGTATTTTACCAGTCAGCCTTTATACATGAATATCCTCTAATAACGATGACTTTACTCACTCTTAGAGCCAATTCTAGTCATGATAGTTGTAAAATACACTTCCCTAAGGAATTAACGCACTAACAAAAAGTCGCCAACAGACGCCAACATTTTCGTAAAAACTATTTGTCTGATTTGATTGTAAGCTGTAGGATTTCCATTTATGATCACTTGTTCCATGCGATCAGTCAAAGAATGCCTTCCAAGACCATATATACTTGCGTGCTTATAATACTAATTGATTTCAATTAAATCATGTTATGCTATGAAATTATCTCGGAAATTATGTTCTGGAGAAATTGGAGAGATAATCGAAATCGAAATAAGAAATGTTGAAGAAAGATACGACTGAAGTGTGCTTTCAATTTAAACTTGTTAACGTAACTCTTACACTCCAGGGGGTATTACATAATTCATGAAAAACAAGACGGCTTAAATGGTTACACCCGGTATTTATATAAAAGAGGTTCTTATGCGAATACAATATTCAGACGAAGATAACCTATCATTCAATACAAAAATCATTCAAATCGGACAAGTATTTTCGATGAAAATGCCTCTCTAACTCTGATACTTTTTGGTGGTGCGTTAGTTTCTTGGGGAAGTGTAGAATATTCCGGATGTTCCACAGTGAAAAGGAATGTGTTTATGTCAAGTATCAGTTTATGTCGACCAAGTTCAGTGTTGACGTTAGGGAAGGGTAGAATATGTTTATGTCGACCAAGTTTAGTGTTGACGTTAGGAAAGTGTAGAATATTTCGGATATTCCACACAAAAGAGGAATATGTTTGTGTCGACCAAGTTTAGTGTTGACTTCAGGGAAATGTAAAAAATTTCAGATGTTCCACATAAAAATAAAATGTGAGTGTGTCGACCAAGTTTAGTGTTAACGTCAGAAAAGTGTAGAATATTTCGAATGATCCACTCAAAAACGGAATGTATTTGTGTCGACCAAGTTCAGTGTTGACGTTAGGGGACTGTAGAATATTTCGGATGTTCCACATAAAAAAGGGAATGTGTTTGTCTCGACCAAGTTTAGTATTGACGTTAGGAAAGGTAGAATATTGCGGACGTTCCACATAAAAAATGAATGAGTTTGTGTCGACCAAGTTTAGTGTTGACATTAGGACAGTGTAGAAAATTTTAAATGTTCCACATAAAAAAAGAGAAGTTGTTTGAGTCGACCAAGTTCAGTGTTGACGTTAGGGAAAAGAAGAATATTTTGGATGTTCCACATGAAGAAGGAATGTGTTCTTGTCGACCAATATCAGTGTTGACGTTAGGGAAGTGTAGAATATTCTGGATGTTTCACATAAAAAAAGGATGTGTTTGTGTCGACTGAGTTTAGTATTGCATTAAGAAAATGTAGGATATTCTGGATGTTCCATATAAAAAGGAATGTATTTATGTCGACCAGGTTCAGTGTTGTCGTTAGAAAAGTGTTGAATTCTGGATGTTCCACATGGAAAAGGAATGTGTTTGTGTTGAAGAAGTTCAGTATTGCGTTAAGAAAGTGTAGGATATTCCGATTGTTCCATATAAATAAGGAATGTTTGTGTCCACCAAGTTCATTGTTCCCTTGAGGGAAGTGTAGAATATTTCGGATGTTCCACATATAAAAAGAATGTGTTTGCGTCTACCAAATTCAGTGTTGACGTTAGGGAAGTGTAGAAAATTTTGAATGTTCCACAAAAAAAGGAAATGTGTTTGTATCGACCAAGTTTAGTGTTGTCGTACCTTCGTCCCTTTCCTCCTGATTTTTGTTCTGCTTGTCTTGCCGACTGTCTCTGCTGGGTGGATGCGATTGGGCATACTCCTCCGAATCCCTGTACCGACCTGTGTCTCCGCTGCTGAACTCCTCAGAGGTACTCCGCGCTGAAAACGGATCCCGATTAAATCACCAGCAAAGAGAATGCGATTCCACAACATATTATTATGTACAGGGTCCGTAGTAAAGTTGGTAGCTCGATATGTGAACATTGTGAACAAGTTGAACGACAGATATTATCCTGATCAGACATGCAGGGTGTCCCAAAATTACATAGGAAAATTTCAACTACAGATCTCCTTGAGGGGTTAAAGCCATCTGAAAGGGGAGCTAGAGATGGTGAAATGGTATGTGAATATTTTCTAAACCCGCTGATAAAATAACCAAATCTTGTACACGTACAAACCTAACATTTTATGTTTGACTTGGAAATATTAAGAATTTTCCGAAATTTTGATCAGGGGCGTCAGAAATAGATGGGGCTAGGGGCACATTCTCTCCCAACTTGATGCAAATTTCGGCAGTTGGACCAATAAATATGGACATCTCAAAATGTTCACTCATAAATGGTACTTCTGTTCAGTTTCGGTAGCATTCGCCATTTTTCAGATGAATCGATTTTAAAATTCTGTTGCCTAATACAAATAGAGCTTTTTTCTCCATAGGATACCGATTTTTCCAAAAATCATTGTTTGATAGAAGATACCCCTTTTTTGAAAATCTCTTTCTGGTGTTTGATTCGATAAACGGAGGGTTCAATAAAAAGAATTTAGAAATATGGTAGGTACCCTCTATTAAGAAAAGGTATTATTCTACGCTTCTGATCAAAATTTTGGCAGATTCTTAATTATTTCAAATTGTGCATTGGAAAATTTGGTTATTTTATCACAGGCGGTTTCGAAAATATTCACTAAAGAATGACGAATCAGTATTAAGGAGATGTTACATTACGTTTAAATCAGAAAATCATCGACTTGAAATTTGAAGTTATTAACAAGAATGACACCTGCGTTGCAAACATCTTTTCGAAGGCATCTTCTTCATTCTTTCGAAGTAAGTAATCAAATATCTGTCAGTCTAATTCTGTGATTAGATTGTCAAAAATTGCGAATGTAGTGGTTCTTTAGTAATTTACGTAACTGCGAAGTCAAATGGAAGGTAAAAGGACTTGCAGAGTTTTTTCTCGGAGACAGTATTATCGACTTATTTTTCGGAACTATAGCACAACAAGAGCCATCAACAGTGTATATATATGTGATATATATGCGGGTTAAAAGTACTCACTTTTTTTCCACGGAAAAAAAGTAATTTATGAAAAGTGACATTTTATAACCTGTCAACAGAGATGAAATGCCAAACTTTTTTCCCGTCACAGAAAAAAAATTTTTCTGTGGGAAAAAAGTGAGTACTTTTTTCCCGGATATATATCACATATATATACTCTGTTAATGGTTTTTGTTGTGCTATAGTTCCGAAAAATGAGTCGATAATACCGTCTCCGAGAAAAAACTTCAAGTCCTTTTATCTTCCATTCGACTTCACGGTTTCGTATATTACTAAACAACTACTGAATTCGCAATTTTTCAAAATCAAATCACAGAATTGAACTGACAGAAGTGACATCAGATATTTGATTACTTCAAAAGAATGATAAAGATGCCTATAAAACGCAGGTGTCCCTACTGTTAAAAACTTGAAATTTCACGTCGATAATTTTCAGATTTCGAAATAATGTAATATCTTCTCAATATTGATTCGTCCTTCCTTCTGTCACAGAAAAAAATAGTGTATTATACACGGGAAAAATATTAGATTTTAGCTCACGGTTTTTTGTCTCCCTCCGCTACGCGTCGGGAGACAACACAACCTAGAGCTAAAATCTACTACTTTTTTCCCTTGTATAATAAATAACTATTTTTTCTGCTTTTTTTGTCACTAGAATCTGTGGTTAAAATCTTCTCATGTAATTTTGGGTCACCCTCTACATTACTCGGAATAAAAAATATTTCATTACAGTCATGCTTCACGAGCGAGGAACAGGAAGAATTCACATATTATCATAACATTTGACAAAATCAATGTTTATGTTATCTTATAAAAAAATCCACAACTAATCGCTCGAACGGCCCAATTTTTTTTCAAATTTTCTAATGATGAACATAGGTACTCAATTTTCAGGTAATCAGACATATCCTATTATAACGATCTTTTTTTCCATTTTGAAGCTACCAAGAATGTTTTTTTTGTCGTTGAGGGCCAACATGTTTCGATCGTGAGGTCAATGTTTGTATTAACTGTTAACAGGGTGTCCCATTGAGAAACAGAAAAATTTCAATGGTGGGTAGAGCTAGAGATATAGAGTGTTTCATCAATTTTGTTCAATTCTTTGTGACGACATAACTTACGAATTACCGAGGGGTAAATCTCCTTGGAAGTCTGGTGTACACTCCGTTGGAAGTCTTTGGAATTCTTTGGATGTCTTTGGAAGTATTTCGGAGTCTTTGGATGTCTTTGGATGTCTTTGCCCAGACAGCACTGGATATTCATAGAATATTCTCTAAATATGCTAAAAAGGAGGAGTATATTCCGAATATTCATCGATTATTCCTAGAATATATACATGCCTCTGGAACATCTAAAAGGAATATTCCAAAGTGAATAGTCGGACATGTTCAGGGAATATTCAGGTATGAATCTTCCAGGAATATTCTTAACTGAATATTCTCTGTTGTATATTCATGAAATATACCCAACTGAATATTCTGTGCGGTATATTCATGAAATATACCCAACTGAATATTCTGTGCGGTATATTCATGAAATATTCTCAACTGAATATTCTGTGGTGTATATTCATGAAATATTCCATGAATATTCCTATGTTTCTCAACACATAAATACCATTTATTATTTCAGAGATGTGAGTATCGAACATCAATTAGATGTGAGGGGATTTTGAAACAAAAAGTGTTTATGACCCGATTTCGAACAATGCTCTCACAAGAACTTAATATGTATAACAATATTCAATTCGATTACTGGCCTAGTGGTCAAGGCGTTGCTCTGGTAGTCATGAGGTCACGAGTTCGATCCCTACTTGGGTCACTTTTTTTTAATTTAAGAATATGTTCATTGGAATATTCCAGGAACATTCAACATAGAATATTCTTTTGGGTATATTCTATGATTATCTGAGGAATTCCCATTCGCATATTTGGAGAATATTCCACAGATATTCCGGAATATTCCAGATTATTTCTAGAATATTCCAATATTCCAAAAGGAATATGATAGGGAGATTCATGGAATATCTGGTGCTGTCTGGGTGGAAGTCTTTGGTAGTCTTTGGATGTCTTTGGAAGTATTTGGAAGTATTTGGAAGTATTTGGGAGTCTTTGGAAGTATTTGGAAGTCTTGGGATGACTTTGGAAGTCTTTGGAAGTCTATGTTAATTGGAAGTCTGGTGTACACATTTTTCGTGGAGATTTACCCCTCGCGAATTACCCAGTATATTATTCCATTTTCACCTATCAAAATGCATAAAACTTCAAATTCGAAATCAGAAATTCTTTAGTGAAATAGCATGCGAATACCATTCGATTCCGATTCTTCTGCACTTTCCAAATATGTGAACGGATTTTGGAAATTCGATAGTACAGGGTGTTCTTTCTGGGGTCCAGAAACATGATCAATTCTCATTAATCTGGACCTGGATTTATCTCCTGACCTTAGTAGAGAGTGGGTAGAAAAAGATGAAATTGTGTACCAAATTCCAAGAGGATATACTGGGTGGTTCGTAAAAGATATGTCCTCACGAAGAATTGAGTGAAATTAATGAAACACCCTGAATCTGGAATATGAAACTATTATGGTATAGCTATTCAGAACCACCTTGATGAAGTTTTTCCGTTTTCCAATGGGACACCTTGTATATCTCCTTCGTGAATGTAGAAGTGTGACAATGAAAGTAAAAAAACAAGCCCTATAAATAAGCAAGTCTAGAGTTACTGAATGGTATTAGTAAGATAAGAGTTCGGGCCCAGCTGAACTTCTGCCCTTTTCTATTCTCTATATCACAATGGATTGAGTGAATAATAGTATATTATTCAACAAGCATATAATGACGGCTATTATTCACGAAGTTTAAGTTTGTCATGAGCGTAGCGAGTGGCATAATTAATCTGAGTGAATAATAGCTCATTATATGCGAGTAGAATACTATACTTTGTCCACGACTACTGTTGTCTTTGATATATTAATTCATTTTCAACAACTGTTTTATCTTAATTCATCTGACATTGAGAAAACTGAAACTTGAAGTCCTCAAGCCAAACGATAGCCATTTGTCGCACTAGTGAATAATAGCTGTGAATAACCATAATTCACTGGTATAGAGTTCCTTATATGTTATATCGCGTACTCAAGGAACTCTAGACCAGTGAATTATGGTTATTTCCTGCTATTATTCACTGGTGTTAAAAATGGCTACCGTTTTGCTTGAGGAAGTACATGTATCATGAATATTTTATACAACAGTCGTGGATAAAAGAATAAAACGGTTATTCTGCTCTATTTCTCCACAATTTCCCTAGTAGCGCCTGATTGTCAAATGCGATTTAAGAGGTTAGATTTTTTGTCTAATCAAACATAGCTGTAGATGGAAAACAGAAATAGGGTATAAAAATACCCATTTCAATTTATAGCGATACATGAATGAATGCATGTAACAACATTTTGATACGAGTTTCAATATGCCAAATTAGAAACAAATGGATATCTTTGCATTCACTTTTCACTGATACATATATTTTGAATTTTGCCGGTATCAAAAACTCCATCAAATGATATAACACGTTGCAATTTACTTGATTTCCTCAGTTTCGTTTTCAAATTTTCAATTTTATTTCGTAGTTTTGCAATCCATTCTTCTTTCTCAATAACAATTCTGAGAGTTGGGTGAAATACAATTGACGCATTTTGAAATTGAATTGATAATTTTGAACTACTTTTTGAAATCAAAATAACTGATTTGAAATACAATCGATACTTTTTTAATCAACTTTTTTGAACTAAAATTGGGAAAGGTGTAGTAATGCCACATACTGAGACAGAAATTGTTAACCCTTATCCAGCAACATGAGAATTGTATTAGTTTCTTATGTTTATTAATGGATGTGCAGTTATTTGATGATGAAAACCCATTTTAATAATTGAAAATCAGCTTTTTCTCTGAGCAACTTTGCGAATTTTGTCAGTCGAAGAAGCCACTAAAAATAAGCCATACTTACTTTGATGTGATATGAGTTAGAAAAAGCAGAAAATTAGACAGTTTGATATTATATAAAATACATGATGAGAGAGGTTCAAGAGCAGAAATGAAACACAAACCAAAACCTCAACAAAACAAAATCCAAACGAAACGCAAACCAAAAAATAAATGAAAATACCTCGAGAATAGGGTGGCGACAAAGGGGTCTGGCATTTGCTTTGGCATGAATTCGGCAAAACAATAGAAAGACGCTTCAGAACGCTCGTCAAAGAAGCACTTCTCCTTACCCTATCGCCACTGACGACTGCAAAATCATTCCCTTTATATCTTAAAATAAAAAATTAAAAAACAAAATTAAAGCAGTAAAATCTAAGTATCCAACGAACACCAAAATAGCAAACAAAATATAAATTCATGCTGTTTTTTCCAACTTTGTATGTTCTGTGTTCCTTCGAAACAGCCAAGACGTGCATGCAAATCAATTATACAGTGTGTTACAATTTGGTCCATCCCACCCTTTTTCTTTGGTATTCCTAGGAGAATTTGAGAATTTTTTCCTCTCATGATATATAGGTACTACTCCAAAGTATCTACTTTGTCGAGCAACAAAAATTATCGATCAAAATATCTCAGCCTACTGCTATCACAAAAAATCAAGTAAGTGTGAAGAAAACGGGTGTTGCACTTTTTTCCAAAATTTTGATAATGACAATCGATTTAAACTAGCCAGAAATAATCATCTCATATAACAATTTTCAAAACAATATCTCATGAGGAGTGTTTCCCATGAACGTTGCAATTTTTATGTGTTTGCTAACTCCAAATCACCATGTATGATAATGGGGGAGACCACTGATTTTTCAAAATGACATTATCGTGAACTCTATACTGAAAAACTACCAGCGAATTAATTTTGAATTTCGTCATTCATGCTAGGACGATGAAGATAATAAATTAGAATATGTCCATTTCAATACACGGAATTCCTGTGCCATTTGAAATTTTGTCAATTCATTGGTGTGACTGGTGCGACGTCTTATTCCCAACACGCCTATTGTCCTTGAACTGACCAATCACACTGCAACACTGCAGAATGACGAGGTATCAGAGAGAGATAGCCACAGTTCGGGACTAATACGTCACGACTCCACCATCATATTTGGCTGTTTGAAATATCGAATGAAATATGCTGATTTCAAAACGATAGAGATTCGATTCCCTTCAACTTTAACTCATAATATTGATTGTAAATCAAACGTAAATCATGATTCGTCGATTGAAAGAGGTTTGCACGGATTTCTTCTCTCAGTGGTCTTCCCCATTGGTGGGTGTTTGTCAGGATCAGAAAATCTGTCTACAGAGTGAGATGATTAAATCACTATTATTCATCACGAATAAAATCACTATTAATTTCTTGACAAGAAGGAATTCGAAAACAAGACTGAATAATAAGTATTAGAAACTTACAAAATCTTGAGCAAAGGTTTACAAATTCAGGCCATGAAATGGAGGAGATTTGATCGAGAATACAAAAATCTGAACTTGTTTGAAATGAACTACGAAATAGCCACAATGCTCAAAGTGAAATGGAATGTTAAATGAATACAAGAAACTCAAAGTCATTTCCACACAATGTTCATAAAATGAACGACAATGATGAATTTCGGAAGGAAAAAAACTACTTTCTTGGCTAATGCCACGCAGAACATTGAATTACATACTCCCGAAATCTATGCATCGACTCGTATAAACGAATTCTGATACAAGTGATTCTTACCGGAATTCCTATTGATTTCAATTTAGCCAGGTCATGCTGGACACCTACAAACCAGTTTCAAGTTCTTTGACTCCCATCAGTGCAGGGCAGTCTCCAGCCAGTAGTCCTAAAAGACTGCCGACTAAGCGTAGCCTAGCCAAACAAAAATCAAGTCGGCATTATATATTCCCTGAGAGGCGTCCTCCATAGACAATATGAGAGCAATGCTATCTGAGTAGAAAAGGAGGAGAGATACACTCCAAAACCAAAATTCCCAAACGTGTTGCTATTTCGTAGTTGAAATTACGCCAGTCGGGCAACCAGCCACTCCCATATGAGAATTTTGGTTTTGGAGTGTTTTTCTCCTTATTTTCTACTCAGATGGAGTTGCTCTCATATTGTCTATGGAAGACGCCTCTGAGGGAATATAATGCCGAAATTATTTTTGTTAGGATAGGCTTCGCTTAGTCGGCGGTCTGAGGACTGCTGACTGGAGACTGCTTTCGCTGATGAGAGTCAAAGAGAACGAAACCGTTCTGTAGGTGTCTAGCGTGGCGTGGCTAAATCGAAATCAATAGGCATTCAGGAAATAATCACATAAGTATTCGTTTATACGAGTCGTGGCATTAGCTTGGAAAAGAAGTTGTTTTTCTCCCGAAAACTACCATTGTTGTTCATTTCAGGAACATTGCGTGGAAAAATTGAGTTTGACTTTTTTGTATTCATTCATTGGTAGGAATGGTTGTTGTTCTTTTTTTTTAAATCTTTTGTAGTTGTTTTTCGATTGTTATTATTCAGTTTTACCTTCTTCTTTTCATTTCTCGATGAAAAATAAATGATTTTCAGTGATTTTATTCGCTATTTATCTCACCCTGTAGCCAGATGATCTATATTCTTGTTTACCATAATGCATGGTATCTTTCAAATTCTTAGTTTTCAATTCAAAATTGTCACCTTGATAAAAAACACCCCTCATGAGCTGTTTTGACTATTTCACTCATCTCATTATCTGACCAATCACAAGCCATAGACAACGTGTGCTTATCGCGAGAACATGAACTGTCTTTCAATTCTGATAGGTCTGACAGCGTTCATGTTTTCACCGATACGATGTAACCATAGATAACTGATCAGAGCCTGGATAAAGGTGGACAGATATAGAAGCAAAGTCTGTCAGTTTGGCATGAAATAATTATAGCTGTACTTGTCAGAATGAATCACTCATTTATAATAAATGATTTTTATGCTTCCTGACCGTGAAATAGTCTAGCAAAATACCACTCGTCCTGACAGACTCGTGGTGTTGCTCGGCAACACAATTTCGTGAACAATGAACCAAACAGAGTCATCTCGAATATGAAAATCGATATCGTAGTATTTATAACTAGTCAGAATCGATTGCCGACATCAAAGTTTTGCTCGAGTTTTTGTGATCTCAGTAGGCTAAGAAATTGTGTTCAATAATTTTTTTTTGTTCGACAAAGTAGATAATTATTTCATGTAGTATATTATGAATGAAAAACATATTCAAATCGCCCTATGGATTCAACAAGTTAGTGCTGAGGTGGACCAAATTGTAACACACTGTATGTTTTTAGAGCAGCAAGAAATGTCTTGAAGCAATCATAAATATAACAATGGAAAATATACAGGATGAGCATGGTATCAATAACATATTACATTACAATTTGCTTGCACAGAAAGCATCGAACAGTAAGCAAAAATATTCTAAATAGTGGACTCAATAGTATGCATCTACTGAGACTTTTGGAATTATGAATTTCAACAATTATGAGTCGTATTGATGCTCATTATTTTACATACATTTATAAAAAAAGTACACACACACAACATGGACATACAGGTTGAATAAGTTATACAGGGTGTAATTCAATTAAATTGATGGCTAAAAATTTAGGATATGGTTCCTTAGCCTCTCAAATTTCGAACTATAGGAAGTTGAAATTTCAGGAAAAATTCGTTTTGATATCTTAAGTTCCATACACTGTTCTAGATATTTTCATAGAATTTGACATGCACCCACTAGGCATTATGTGGTACTTTGTGAGTGAGATGTGTCTTGTCTGATTTGTATTCAATTAAAGTCAATTGATTAAATAAACCAAAATGATGTTTATCAATTTACGCAAAAACAGTGCACCTGACAAAAAAATTTAAGAGGTCAAATCAGGGCAAAATGAATAAGGATATCATATTTTTTAGGAAAATCTCCAGTAGGTATATATCCCATTCGAACGCCACTGGTGAAAATATTGAAAATTTTCATGAATCAAGAAAAGCTTATTATATAGTGCTTATAGTGGGTGCATATAAAATGTCGGGAAAATATCTGGAACGATATAGGAGTTGTAGTAAGAAGAAGAATTTTTGATAATGAGTTCAAGATCAACATTTATAAAAAAAAGCAAAGTATGTACAGGATGTTCCATATTGATCACTTCTGAAGGAAAATTCCTATTCTCCAACTAGACAGAAAAAAATTGATGCCGGTGGCTGATGATCAATTCTCATGCAAAACCCAATGGTGAAAGCCGTATATCAATATCTGTCTTCGTTTCGGAGTTACAAGGTGTTCTTCGATAATGGGCATTTTTGCAAAGTAGCTAGGAATATTTTTTTGCAAAAATTGTATGTTTTAATGAAAGAACTGCAAAGCATTGAGTTTGTGCTGAGAATTATTCCTGATGCACTGAAATTATCCTTTCTATATTATCTTGTTCAAGAATATAACTTGTTCTTCTTGAAGGAAAAGTTCTATATGTCGAAACTATAGAGGTATATGGTGACTGATTTCATTGCCTGTGGATCAATTTTCATGACGAACACAATCCTTTCAAATGTTCTCATGGAAACGACGAATTTTTGACAAAAAAATGAGTTTCAGCTACTTTTCAAAAATTCGCAATTTCGAAAAACACCTTGTAACTCTGAAAAGAAGATAGATATCGATATGTAGTATTAACCATTGAGTTTGTCATGTTTGTCAGTTTCGTTCTATCTAGTACGGAAATAGAACTTTCTCTTTAAAATTGTCCAATTTGGTCCACTCTGTACATTACACGGGTTCCATAATTTTGTCTGCTTCTATTTCTGAAAATGAAGATAGAGGATGAGAATTTCGATTATGATGGACTAAGTTGGTGATTACAGATGGAACCTTCCAAAGAATGAGCTGTAGCCAAAATCCTGTAGGTGCTTGATAATTCCTTATTTACGCAAACTTCCGATGCATGGAGTAGCCAAAAATAAATTCATCGCCAACGACAGCCAGAAACTAGAGTTTTGGAATGTTCAGGAATGAGAATACCCGTACATGACGTCACTGACAAAGCAATATCTGTGAGAGGTAATTTTTTCTTCATGAAAGTAATTTTCAAGTAAGCGAACGGTACAGCGAGCTGTAGTTCTAAGCAGTGGGAGCGCTGGGTCCGATGCGACAGAAATCCTAAGAGGAGTGTTTGCTCTTCATTTTTACTTCTCTCTTTTTTCCAACAATGCCAATGCTCATACTGTATCACGTGATTCACTGTGACCAATCTGACAACGAGGTTTGGGAATGGTTCCAAAACTTTAGGCTCTCGTCGCATCGGTGCTGTCTACACCGCTTCGGGTATCCTCGTTCCTGAACTTTCCAAAACCCGCGGAGACTCTTCTCAAGCGAAGCCAAGTCTACGCGTTCGCAACATACGAGCCACCTAAGTCATGTTCCGATATTGCTGATATTACTGGCCAAACATAGTAGCAGTGGCTTTGAATTTTCGTCTCATTTCGTAACGATTTTGGCGGTACTGGTACACCGCCAGCAAAACATATACCCATAATAACCTATGATCTTTCGATTTTCGATGTTTTGTTCTGTTAGTTTTCATTTCCATCATTCTTCTTTACTCACGTTGACATTATGGATCTTAGAACACATAATATAATCCGATAGTGATTCTGATTCATCAGAAATCCCAAGCTCTAGTATCTCTAGTTCCATGGTTCCAGTGAAGAAGAACTGAAACTGTGAAATTTGAAATATAAAGTGGAAATATCGAACCATTTTGTACCACTGAGATCTTCTAGTTCGTCTTCATACATTTCCAAGTATTTGAGAATAATTATATATAATTAGAGCCCTGAGGGGGCAGAAGGACGATCTAGCTTTCATAGCCATCAAGTGGCTTAAGTGCGAAGGTGAATAGGTAGACTCAACAGTCATACCTTGCGAGTCTACCTATACACCTTTGCACTCAAGCCACTAGATGGCTATGGAGTCTAGATCGTCGTTCTGTCCCCTCAGGGCTTCGATTTGCTAAATATATGGAGGTACCCTTCGTGAATCGATTGTCAGCTGGCCAGTGCAACTGTAGCGGAACGTGTAAAAGGCCGCGAACGGACACTCATCAATCGGGACTGGAGGATTTTGGTCGACATGGGTAGCTGGGCTTGCTCAGTGAAAACTGGAACTTTGGTGTACCTTGTGCCTCAGTTCGTCAGAGAAGGGGGTAGCCCCAAGCGATCCTATCGCCAGACATCATAGGTAAAGCCAAGACCTCTCCTGTGAACGAAATAGAGGAACGTGTAAAAGTCCTCGAATGTTCACCTATTCAACGGGACGAGAGGATTCTTGTCAACATGAGTAGCAATTAGGCGAAAGCCTCTTGCGACGGGGACCCATTGAACTTAACAAGAGGAATCTTGTTGACATGGGTACCTGGGGTGATGAGGATAGCCCCATCAGGCCGTACATACGGCCTGATGCCCCACCAATTGGGTTGGACTCCAGGGAGCAGCGGTTTCCAAAAGCACCACCGGACTACGGTAGAGGAGGTGAAGAAGAATCCCAATATGGGTCAAGTGGAAGGATATCTTGCCTGCCTCGGCGGGTGAGCTTTTCTGCTCGGGCACTGAAACTGCAGAGCCAGCAGTCTGTTTTATCTGACGGCCTCACCATTGGTATAATAAAATGGTAGCAGGAGAACATGCCGTTACATAACGGAGATGGCTCTAGCGCGCTGATTTGGCGTATTCAAATCTTCCATTTCTCTCTGGGGTGTGCTTGTTCGATTTCCCAATAAGAAATCGGGTGATAGCCAAATTTTGGACAGATAAATGGACTGTATGTTAATATTAATCTAGGAATGCTAAGTGAGCTTGCTATTCAATCGCAAATATATCAGAAAAAAACCCGGATGAGAATAGATCAAAGGAAAACTCACGTGGCGGGTCTCCTGGATCCGGAATCTGCGGGGAGAGGGCCCTCTGCAACTACTTCACTTTCCTCCAGAGTCTGATAACGTTGTTTTTAGCACTGATTGCACCATATCTCACTTCAAAACCTCAAAATAAGCAGCCACAAAACCATGGCCGGTTCCTTCCAAGACCGTTTCAAAAAGTCTCGTCTTGCTCATGCACAGTTCTCAGCGCACAGGTTTTGCGCATGCGGGGTTCGAACATTTACCCATTCTCATCATATTGCACGTATGAAATGAAAAATAACTCGAGACTAGGCAACTCACTTTACATTACTTGTACGAAAATTCAACTCAAAAACTCAATTCAACTTAATGTTATTTAAAATCGAACAGTGCTGTCGGTATAAATCGAGAGACAGGTGACCGGCAGTCATCCCCTAGGGGAGTCTTGGGAAAGGGGGGTTGGACTTTTTTTCACCCGTTGCTACCCCGGCAACTTCATTGATTAATTGATTGATTGATTGGCCAGTGCAACTGATGAGACTTATGGCAAGTCGAAACAGTCTGTCTTGCATCAGCTGACAATCGATTCACGAAATTTCCCTAGAATCTCTTAGTCTTGATATTCTATGTTGATCATATAAAATTTTTATCGACTAATACCTTAAAACTACCAACGCTTAACCTAACATTTCGTGAATACTAGCACTACATCACCATTTGTGCACCAGTGGACAACAGTAAACTTTTAGCTTCTTACAGGGTTCCTTGCAATGACCAGCAAAAACGTTGCCAGTAAATTTCAGTAAAATCGGAACGATAAAATATACTGGTGGGCAGTTCTGTTCGGTAATATCGGCACATGCTTCTATAGCGACTCAGCCGCAGCAGAGCTCAATACTCACGGGACAGCGTGTCCTTCCTTCTGACCTGCACCCCGATGATCGCCTCCATGGGCACCTCCGTCCGGGGGATGCTGACCGCATGCGGGGGCAGATAGATCGGCTCCAGCATGCCGAAAGTGCACTCGCCAGTGATGCTCACGTGACACGCCGCGTGACTCTGAAACGCACCAAAAACATTGATGATAGTATTTGCGTTCTATTAGGTGAGTTCGGCAATTACAGTGTGAGGCGAAATCAGTGTGGTGTTGCGTTGGTGTAGTGTGAAAATCACGTGATTGTAGTGTCATAGTGTAGCTCATAGCACTGCACGGGAAATTAAAGAACGCGCATTGGCGTCATGGTGCCCGTCTGGCAGACGACAACAACAACAAACATCGGATGTCATATTATCTTGTAAATATGGGGCATGTTCCGTAAATCAACTTGGTTTTTTTTATCGCTTGAAGCGCACGAAAGGGAATCCCTATAATGTTCAGAGAACATCGTGCGTTCCTAGGGAGAATAGGGACAGGAGGTAGGTATTGGATTTTATTTTGAACTTTTGGAGATTATATGTTGCTGGGAATACTTCCACAGGCAATGAACTCCAGAGCCTAGCCGTTCTATGGATGAAGGAGTCTTGATAAAGTGCTGTTCGACATCTTTCGAGGTTGACAACGAAAGGACGTGCTGACTGGGCTTGTCTAGTTTGTCTGATTGGTATTGCTAGTGAAGGGATGATAGCAGAGATTTCCGAAGAACATTTCCCGTGGAAGTATCGATAGAAAAGTGACAGGTCGCCGAACTTTCTACGGTGTTCCAATGATGTCAAAGAGTGAGTGAGTGTGGCGTCACCCACCAGGCGAATGGCTCTTCTCTGGATGGAATCTAAGAGCATCAGCGTATGTTTTGGTGCTGAACCCCATATGTGGGAACAGAATTCTAGAACAGGCCGTATCTGCGCTTTATAGATCATGAGAAGCTGTTGAGGTGTAAAAGTAGCTATTCGCACGGAACAAGAATCCGAGTTTTTGTAAATCAGCTTTTGCGATGGATCTGACATGATTATCCCATGAAAGAGTGTTGCTGATGGAAATACCGAGCATAGATATGGTAGGCTTGGTGGGAATGGTGGAGCCAGACATTACAATATCGGGCATACTGAGTTCCGCCTTTCTAGAGAAAATGCAGGCTTGCGTTTTGGTGGCGTTGAATTCAACTAGGTTGTTGGTTCCTCAGGCTGTGATTTCAGCAAGATCTTCATTGACAGCATTGACCTGCCTGCGCCGTGAGTTCTTAGTTTCCTGGGAAGAGATGGGAATTCTGGAAGAGAACGCAGTATGGAGGGTACTATCATCTGCAAAACTTTGGATGGGGCAAGTTGTTACTCCCAACAGATCATTGCTATGAAGCAGGAATAATGTTGGTGCCAAAATTGATCCTTGTGGAACGCCGGAATTGATGCCAATGGTATCAGACAATACACCGTCCACCACCACGTGAAGCGATCTGCCTTAAAGAAAACTCGATAAGAGATGGCATAGCTGAGGTGGTAAGCCGTATGATGGTAGTTTGTGGAGGAGTCCTTCGTGCCAAACACGGTCGAATGCTTTCGATATGTCCAACGCGACAGCTAGAGATTCCCCGTGTTTTTCTAATGAAGCTTGCCATAAATGGGTGACGTAGGCAAGTAGATCTCCAGTAGATCATCGGTGGCGAAAGCCGTATTGTCTATCATTGATGATTCCTGAGCTATCCAGATATTTGATAAGCTCAATATTGATGGCTTTCTCCATCACTTTGGAGATTACTGATAACAGGGCAATGGGTCTGTAGGTGTTGGGCAGGTTCTTGTTCCCTTTTTTGGAGATTGGTTGGACTCTAGCTGTCTTCCAGCATGATGGAAAAATACCCGACCTGTACGAGACGGTAAACAACTTGCAGAGAATCGGTGCTAACTCTGGTGCACATTTTTTGAGGATAATGGGTGGAATTCCATCAGGACCGTTAGCCTTATTCGGTTATTTTGGTTAGTAATTTTCCGTTCCGTAAATATGAAATGTACGGTTGGTTCCTGGAGGAAGGTTATTTACGGAACTCGGTTCCTGAAAAAGCGGTAGTTTCACTGTCACCAGTACGACCGTGGATTTTATTTGGTGAGTTCGGTAAGTTTGAGTTGACGTTGACGTGTTTTAGGACATCCAGAAATATCTGTTGAAGAATGCTGCTATCTTCATGTGGTATTTAGCGGATGTTGAGAATTTCAGATGACCTCATATGATATCTACTATCTGTGAATAAAATTATGTTGTACCATTTTTCATTTTCATAATATCAAATATGTAATTTTCCTGTACTTTTTATTTCATGTTGTCAGTAACCTTAATAAAATATTACATCAAGATTACATTAATGCATTGTATTAGAAATGTTACTGTACTTCATACACAATGTTGCAATAACTTTGCTGGAATGATTCATTCGAGAACATTTCATTCATAATATAACTGAGCGTCTGTTTCAGTAGTTGCTGCAACCTTGCAGTAAAATAGTGACAACCGCTGATGTAACATTACGCATCACATTGAAATACTGTCGCAATATTATTGAAATATTTCTTTGCTCAGTGGGTCGACCTGAAACGCCGTGGCCGAGTTTCTCTATGCGCTGAAATTCGCTAGATAACCGTTCACGATATGCGAAGGTACTGTCGGTTCGAATCCGGCTATCGGCTGAGCATTTTTCTTTGGAAATGTGTGATTCATGGTTGTTATCCTAGCAGCACCTCGATGCCCTAGAAGTGGTTCGGATTCCACTATAAGCTGTAGGTCCTGCTCTTCCTAACCCCGCACAAGTTTCGACTTCTGGAGATTTGGTTCTCAACTTCGAAGTAGCGATATACCTATTTCACAAATTTTACAAATTTTACTCACCGTCATGCCGCACCACTCGCACCGGTACCCCGACAGGCATTCCGTCGTCCAGCAGGTCTTCTTGCAGAGGGCGCACTTGGAGTTGTTGGGCAGGTTGCCCTCGCGCCAATGGTGCTGGTGGTGGACGAACGACAGCTGCTTGCCCGGCAAATACGTGGCGTTCTCTTTGCAATCGGCCACCGCGAAGTCCTGGCACTCCACGTGTACGAAGTACTCGCAGACTATGAGGAAACACAGAAAAAACTATGGTTTGAAGTCTAATACAAACATCCCTGAGGTGTCACATTCATATCTTGCTAAAGGTTACAATGTGAATTACAAGAAAACAGCATTGTTAAAGCCAGGGGACTCTTTATTTCACATAACATTCGCAATATTCATCACATTTTATTGGATTTGAAACTTGAAATGTAGGTGAATTTATGAGGCTCTCTAACAACCAATTGACTCACTGGAACCTCACATTCTTGTCTATTTATGTAACAAATGGAATCAATCAATTTTGATGTTGAATGAAGGGTCGTTCAATACGTACTGTGAGTTTCATTTGACATCATAATGAGAATCATAAAAAAAACAGATGGTTTCGGAATAGCAGTCATTGTGATTTCTGACTCTTATTTCGAGTCACGCATGTGATGTCGTGTACCATGAATGTGATGCCTTCTCATATCTCTGGGACCAATTCGTGTTAACTGGGTAAATTTGCTCAATGAGACTAGCAGTCTCAGGTAGCATCGATATAAAGTACAACATTTCATATTCTCTCAGCAGAAACACAGATGGCGCACTTTTTCAATAATACTTTAGAGGAAACCAACAAGCCACATAATTGAAGGGGCAAGTGTAAGGAGGAGTTATATGTTACAAATATGAGTATGTGAGAAAAATAGGTTTCAGTAAAGTTAGCTGGCATTTTTGAATGAAGGCTATACTTTAATAATTGGATCCAAGCAATTGTGAGGATTAGTTTTAGGTTGATTTCTTACTTATGATTCACAGCAATTTGCTATAATATCAGTTTTTGATAGACATCTGGATTTATGCGTACATATCCTCTTCTTCCATTTCCTGATATGTATAGGTATGGGCATTTAGCGCCTTATTCCATTGCGTTCTTGATGTTCAATGTAACATAGCCCCTTCTACCACTGTGTATCTGTTCAGGTATTAAGAAAAGAAAGAAATCCCGACGGCACAAGTTAAATATGCACGTAACACCTTCTTCCATGACATAACCGAATATTTCAGAAAATGTTACTTGACCCCTTCTTCCACCTGCCCCTTCAATTGAATCTTACAAGGAAATTTCACTCAAAAATGACATCGCAAGTCTTAATCAGTCAAGTTTTTTTTGCATTCACCAATATTTAACACTGTATAGCACTTGTCGAAAATAATTGAAAAGTGCTTGGTAAATTCACAGTAGCAGAATCATTGCCACATTCGTACTGAAACTGGAGACCTATGTTCTATAATATGTAATCTGCAACAGAGAAAAACTCTGGAAAATCTCTTACTAGTATGTCCTGTATATTCTGGCTTGAGGAATGACGATTTATTTGCTAAATTACGAGTAATTGACGGACTGATAGATATTCTCAATACTCATTCATATGTATCATTGAAACAATTAGCTAGGATTAGGCTGGGAAACGAAGAATGAAAAATCCCCTAATTCGGAAATAAATAGTGCTACATTGTTTCAAGCTGTAGGGTTTTTATCCTTAAAGCTAAGATATCAAAAGTCTCCAACCGTGGACCTTGTGCGTTAGGCGAAAGGGGGGTGGAAAGGGCCGGTTTGAAGGTTTTTCGTCGTTATCTCGGAAACTAAGCACCGTAAGGAATAGATCAATCCATCCATACAAAATTATAGTTAATTTAATTTTCTTCAAACAAGATTCCATACATTTTTTTGACAGAAGCAATGGTAGTGTAATAATATCATTTGAAAATGCAGAATGTATGTTCTTGCCGAACAAAGCTCATCGAAACAAAGCCCATGTTGATTGATTTTATCACCTATAATTGCAAGGAAATATTGAAGTTTGTATTGTGGACATCTCATGGCTTTGTTGGATGTAAATTCAGTGAGAATAAACAATGCAAGAAAAATGTAATGTTTTTCCTGGCTATTATGAACTGTTCAATCAGAGTCAATAGCAAATCAGTTACCATTAATCCTTTGACTGTTTTTCACAGAACTATCAAAAAAGAGTGATTGATAGTTTGTTGAATGCTCAAAGTCATTTCCACACAATGTTCATAAAATAAACAACAATGGTAGATTTTGGGAGAAAAACAACTATTTTCCTGGCTAATGCCACGCAGAACATTGAATTACATCTTCCCGAAATCTATGCATCTACTCGTATAAACGCGAGTATAAACGAATACTGATACAAATGATTCCTTTCTGAATGCCTATTGAATTTGATTTAGCCAGGCCACGCTATAGACACCTACAGACAAGGTTTTTTTTTTCCAGATGGCGCCAAGTCACCATCTTGAAATTTCGATCTGTCAATTCTACTTCAAAATATAGTATTTATAGATCAATTTCATTTTACCAACTTTCATTTTTTTCAGTTGGCCCGTTCAAAGAATAAGAAGGGGGGGAAGACATTGAAGAATAGCACTACACTACCCTTGATTTCAGAATATTGAGATTAATTCTAGTATACAGTGTGTCCCAAATTCTATCCTCACCATTGGGATCTCAGTAACTATAAGAGATAGAGAAACGGTTAAATTGGCAAAGTTGTAGCAAATTCAATGTTGAATCAAAATCTATTGAGAAATCCGGGCTAGCTTTTGTTATTCTTGAGTTATTTGGGAAAAACTGAAATTTAGTATTTTTGTTTTGTTCGAATATCTCGAATATTTTCAATGTTCTTGTCAGTTTTCCATCAAAATGTCAAAATTGTGAGATTTCACGTACAACTTCGATTTTTTTTATGGACGCCATATTTGATTTCAACAGATTTGGAATCAGCATAAAATTTCCTTTCTAATGATGTATCACAATCACAGTTTTATTTCATTTGGAGTACTGATTCACAATTTTTGTTTTTATGTACAGTAGGCTATGAATTCTGTAACTAATGAATAATACTCGAAGTTATCTCCATGACAATTCATTATGTTGTGTTATTAGTTACTACTTCACTCCACCATGACTTTTACCTTCGATTATGGAATATGTGTTCTATGTTCTTGCATAACCGAGTGCATAACTTAACAGGTGGATAATACAAATACTTAAAAAAATAACTGAACTGCTCGAAATGGCCCCCATTGTTCTCGATACATTTTAATATTCGCGAGCGAACATGATTCGCTGCTTTCCTCAGATGAACTCTGTTGATGTGCTGGAATGTGTCCATCACTCTCTCGTAGATCATCAATATCTTGAATTGGCTCTTCATAAATTTTATTTTTGGCATAGCCGCACAGGTAAAAATCGAGAGGCGTACAATCAGGCGATCTTGGAGGCCATCTAACAGGTCCATGAGTAGTAGTTAATTTAGCACCCAATTGATTTTCGATATATCGATTCTTCCACACTGGTTGACGAACCAGTGACAAAACTCGAGACGACGTTCATTATCACCAGGTCTTTTAACCCTTGACTGTCACCGGTTTTTGTGAACGGCATTGTTTGCCCCGAAATAATTAACTTGTATTTTCTCTTGACGTTTACAGAAATGTCACTTGGCTCCAAGCCTACTCTATGAAATTTGTGACAGAACACATAATCGTTATTGTTTGAAGAGAGTCTAGCCGTTACCACAGCGCATAGCCTACTGCACTGAGAGAAAACTTGAGTTATCATAATTGGAAATCTGATAACCGTTATTACGATATCTGCAATAAATAGGGGACAGATGTGTTCATTTGCTACCATAGATGAAGTGAATTTTCAGGTGACTTGTAGTTATGGCAGCTTATTCAATTTGCAACCTTGTATAAAAACACCGCTGCTGAATAACTACTACTTGTTCTAGTTTCTATGATAACACAGAATGTCGAATAGGAATTATTCCCATAAAATGTTGCAGTAACTCTCCACTCTACAGTGGTTATTAGACTATCGACATAAAACAGCATGTTTTTATTACTGGCACAACCATCTGACAACCTGACATTTTGACATGCTATTGTAATATAGCTCATTTTCAACAGTTATCCCAATATTTTTCTACTCTAGTATATTCATCAAACAGTGGTATTAAGGTTATCTAATCAACATTATTCGATGGTATGCATTATGAATCCGTGCTTTGAATTACTGCAATGAAAATAAATATCCTATCCACATTATCACTTTTCATGATCCAAAGTATTGTTTTCAAAAAAACAAAAATATACTTTTAGTCTGAATTGAAATATTATGGTATCTGTGGAAGTTTTTTGACATTATACTCATTGATTTTTTCGGAGAAATATCATCTATATGCATTACTGACGAATTTATTAAGAAATGAGAAGTTGAATACTTATATTTACCCTTCCTTCGGAGTTATGATGAGAATTGTCAATAAAACTTTCCTCACAGAAACCCAGATATTATGATTCAGAATCTCATCGATCATTTTGTTTCTGAAATAAACCAATTTTAGGCCGTGAAAAGTGGGTATGGAGAATACTTTTTTCATTGCAATGATGGAATGATGCAATGCACGGTGTATTCCACAGATCGGTTCACAGCCAGCACTAAAACAAAACTTTGCTACATCACAGACACTCACCTACAAGACACGGCTCTATCGATTCGGACGATGGAAACCATTGAACAATAATTGAACACGGGCACCCATGACCGAGAACAGCAGTGAAATGAACGCGATCTGTATCTTTGTCAGACCCAATACTAATGTAACACTAGAGCGAAATGAGCCGAATTACGATTGTCGAATGATTGCCTAATAACCGTCATACATGTGAATTGCTAGAGTTATTCGTCAACGTACAATGCTAGAAACCCAAACAGCTATGATTATTGGGACAAACATTATCTGAATTCACCAATGAGCATAATTCACAAAACGAGCTATGTCAATACAAAATCTAAATAGACTGGAATTTATAAAATTCTCATAATATCATAACACACCTGCGTTATGATGGTAGCGAATGTCCATTCAAGGGTATTACAAATGATTTAAGAAATCGATTTTTATAATCACAGAATGGAGAGAATACTGTTGTAATAATAAAATGATCAGGAATAGGAGATTTCCTTATAATGGTTATTACAATCAGAGCTGGTAGATATTTTTAATATCCAGTTTCTCACAGTGTGGACATAAAAACAAAAATTGCAAATCAGTACTCTTCATAAGATAAAACTGTGACTGTGATACATCATTAGAACGGAAATTGTATGCTGATTTCGAATCTGTGAAAATATAATATGGAGTCCTCGAGAAAAACCGAAGTTGTAGGTGATATCTCAGAAATTCGACATTTTGATGGAAAACTGACAAAACCATTAAAAAGAACACCAAAAAGTGCTTCAAGAATGTTGAAGTTATTTTCTCATAAAATCAATGGTTTCCGAGATATTCGAGAGAAACAAAAATACAAAATTTCATTTTTTCTCAAATTACTCAAGAATGACTGAAGCTAGCCTGGATTTCTTGATAGATTCTGATTCAACATTGAATTTGCTACAAATTTGCTAATTTAACCGTTTCTCTATCTCTCCTAGTTACTGAGATCCCAATAGTGAGGATCAAATTTGGTACACACTGTATATATCACAGACATCATGTGAAAATTGTCAGTTTTCAATTGGAGAATATATACCATGTCTTCAGTCCAAAATCTGAAAATGATTGTACTTGCATTAATATGAGTCATGATAAATCTGTCACATATTATTCATGGTTAAATCTGATGAGCTACAAGAAGCAGTTATTGAGGGCGGACAACCTGTAAATAATTACCCTTCGGAACTTACTTTCGCAGTGGATCGATTCACAGTCGTCCAGTCTTTTTCTACAGACATTGCAAAATTTTCTTTTATGATGGAAAGGCTCCGACCAACAATGAGCTACTGGATTCTGAAACGAAAATAAATGAATAAATAGATGTACAGGGTGGACCGAATTAGACAATTAGAGGTTTCGCTTTCAAATTATATTATTTACAATAGGAATTTTGATAGCATCATTCTTTCTAAAACCACAGGAGAAAATGTGATATTGACAATTTATTCAATTCTTTCTGCTACTTTATCGTGAAATATATTTCTAAAAAATATGTTGAATACAGTCCATAACTGTAGATTTTCATACAGGACGGCTTCAAATATATTTATCATCCTATTTTTTCGAATTGGACTCCTAGTTTATTCAGGCACAGAAGAATATTACCGATTTTCTGAACTGGTATTACTCGTGGTATTAGATACTTTTGATATGATATTTGCATCACAAGTGGATTAAAACTAGGTGCATACTATTAGGTATTTTCTGTTTTTAAAAAGGGGTATCTCGCAACTGCAATTCTCATTTAAAATCAATTTGAATGAGACATTTTTTCTTCTAGTTTTTTTCTGTAGTAGGTACTAGCTTTACCCTGCGCTCGTTGCTACGCTACTTACTGAAATAAATTTTAAGGAAAGACAGTACACAAATAGGTATTGATTTTATTTTGAGTCATTTCATTGATTATAGCTGACCCGGCAAACGTTGTTTTGCTGTGTATATTGTTTCTAGAAAAAATGTTTGTTGAGTATTTTAACAACACACTATCATTATTTCTTTTTCTACTTCTGTCTAGTTTGACCATCGTCCACGTTTGACTAACCATGAAAGAATGTTCTCTCAGTTTTTCAAACTAAACCATTCATTTTCTACTCCTTTTCAGTTCGGTAATAATCTATCTCTTTAGTTTTTTTGACTACTTTTTATTTTCTTTCTGTTTAGTTCGGCTATCTATGGAAGCGCCGTGCTTCATTAGTTTTTCGGAAGACTATTTATTACAAACCTCCTTCAACACATTGAATCCGCCATCTTGAATACCGAATCAAATCAAATATATTTTATTGTCAGAATAAATGAGATTCTCATCGACAAAGTCACCATACTTGAATTGAATTGAAAAACCTTGAAGTGTAATATACAAATAACAATTTCGAGATATTCACAACATAAGAAACACATAACATCAATATAAAAAATATTTAAAATGGATAAAGAAGTGTTGAGAAATTATAGGCATCAAAATGATAGGTATAGAATTAAAAGTAAAAATGTTTCTAAATAAAATTCATCTTTCATCTAACAGTAAGCTCTCTCCAGCAGAATATTCCTCACAGAACCTTCAAATTTCTTGAAATTAGTCAGCATTTTGATCTCGTTTAGCAAATGATTGATTAATTTTTTCTCATTATAAAAGAAGAAGTTTCTAATTTGAGAAGTAGATGGTATTGGTACCGATATATCCATAGCCTGTCTTGTTATAACGATTCGTTTTTCTAGAATTTGTATTCATGTATTTTCTGTGGACTGTTTCCAAAATGAATCTACATGGCAGTGTCAATATTTTATTTTCAATAAACAAAGGCTTACAAGAATCAATCAAATTTACATAAATACCTTACTGCTCTCTTCTGTAACACAAATATCATATCAAATAAAAATTGACTGCAAGATCTGATAAAACGATTTTTATATCTTAAATGGGAGTCGATGAGAGCAAAGTATATACAATTTTAGCCATATCTTTACCAATTTCCCGAGATGTTGTTCTGACTGCAAAACACGCAGAGGGTGTCAATATGTTCTTCAAACCTTAATTTATCATCAATGTGAAAACCCAAAAATTTTCTTGCAGACTTATTTCTTTTTATTTTATTACCAAGAAACAATTCTTCTTGCAAGTTGCAATCAAGAGTGAGGATGTTCGTTTTCAAAATATTCAATAAAAGCATATTGGAATCACACCACTCTCAGATTCTTGTTATATCATCAACAACAATTTGTCGCGATTTCGATACATCTCGATTATGCCACAGAATCGTCGTGTCATCTGCAAACTGTTTGAAATTTCCTCGAATATCAATAGTTGCTGAATCATTTCTATAGAGCAGAAAGGGAACTGGGCCCAGCAATGACCCTTGAGGTACTCCACACTTAACTTTTAATTTATCCGACACAATATTATTGATAGATATACTTTGAGTTCGTCCCGACAAATACAACTCACACCATTGTAGGAGTAAATCTCTAAACCCATAATTATGTCTTTCCATTATTCTGAATATAACAGAAGAATCATATTCTTCGATTCCGAATACCCTCAGATACCAATTTTGAATAGAACCATATCATAATTAATGAACTCGTATGCCATATTGGATCTGCAATCTTGAATTCTAGAAATTTGACGAAATAATCATCATTTTCGAACCCGGAAACTCTCAGATACCAATCTTTAACAGAATCTGTTCAAAATTACAAGACTCGTCCGCAATATTGGATCCGCCATCTTGAATTTTCGAATTTTGAGAAAAGAATCATAATCTTCGGCCACAAAATCTCCCAGATACCAATTTTGAATAAAATCGGATTATAATTGGAAAAGTCGTCTCCGACCTCAAGAACCCCTATATACCAATTTGGAATAGAATCGAAACATGATTACAAACTCGTCCACCATATTGGATCCACCATCTCAAATTTTCTAATTTTGACAAAAGAATCATAATTTCCGACCCCAAAAAACCCCAGAAACCAATTATGAATATAATCGGATTAAAATTTCAATACTCGTCCGCGATATTGTATCCATATGTTATATGCTAAAATCAGTTCCCATTGTTCTCAGTAGTATCAACTTACCAGCGATAACAATTCCTCAGAACATGATCTTGACCTTGAAGTCAGCATCCGCAGAAATGGAATATAATATCTGCTGACGCTGGCATCAGCATTATTTTTAATATAAATTCATTTTATTTTGTATCAAAAAGTCAGTCTTGAAATAAAGCTCATTGTATAAACTTAATCTATGCCGGAATAAATAAAATTGTTTTTAAAAAGTCTATTTCGAAAACCACGAGATAACAAATTGGCGCAGTCGTACGGATTTCGTGACGTTGCTAGAACACGGAAACGACCTAACTAGTGACGGTGGATCCCAATCCTTTGCCGAAATCAAAGAACCAACCTGAGGGAGTCATCACTCGAAGAGCTGTGGAAGGAACACCTGGTGAAGCCCCTGGCAGAATCGACGAGAACACGACGAACTCAATGATACTGATCCTGTAAGTACTATATTGAATCGTACCGCATTTCAAATTTGAAACAACCAAGTAACTGTTCCATTATCCAATTGTTTCCCCTTTTTGTCACATTTCAACAAAAACCAATTGCAATGAATGACGATAACGAAAACGTGGCACCACCACGAGCACCTGCAGAAATTGAGCCATACAGACTCAATGAAATATTTTCCATCATACCGGAATATGATGGCAATCCAATATTTTTAACCACCTTTTTACAAGCCTGTAATACCGCTTACAGAATGGCAGTCGACGAACAACGACTACTAGTAACACTTCACATAAAAAATAAATTACGTGGACGTGCTGCAGAGCTAGTGAATTCGAGAAACCCACTTACTTGGGAAGAAGTTAGACATCTTTTAGATACCCACTTTGGCGATTCCAGAGACTTGACTTCATTAATTCAAGATCTCCAAAGACTTCGTCAACTTCCCGGCGAAAATGCAATGACATTCGTTCAACGATTGCAAACGCATAATGCCAAAATGCACGCCGCTGTAAATAAACAAATTTTGCCACCAGACCAAAGAGGCGCGCAGTCCAGGCTTATAGAAACTATGAGTTTGAACACCCTGTTGACTGGATTAGATCCAAAACTTGGTCAAATAATTCGAGCAGGCACCCCAACCGATATGTTAACCGCAATTACTCGTATCAGACGAGAAATGCAGTTGAGTTATTTCGAAAATCAAAAATTGCCTAACTCACAAAGCTATCGAAATCCGAATGCAGTTTCTGTTCGAAAACCGATTTCATCTCAACAAATAAAACAATGTTCATATTGTGGACGTACCGGACATTTGATTCATGAATGCCGCGCAAAACAGAATTCCCAAAATAGACCACAATACCCTCCAAGACCAAACCAACAAAATTTCAATCAAGCTGGGCCTTCAAGACCATTCCAAACCCCAAATCCAGTACAGCGACCTCCTCAATTCAATCAATATCAACCACCCAATCAATTTCAACAAAACCGACCATCAATCATAAGACCTAACCCGAACTTCAACAATCAAAGACAACCTACCATTCAATCGAATCCAAATTTTAACAGACCAAATAATCAACAGACACACCATTTGAATTACCAACAATATGACCAATATTATGAGAATGATTTTTATCAAGATGATCACTATACAGCTAGTGAAAATCAAAATTACGATCAAGCCTATCATACTGCTGATAGCCAACAATTTGATTATCATACCGCTGAAAGACAATTTGAATATGATCAATTTCCGACACAGTACCCAGACTATGACAATCTACCCCAAAATTCGGATATTCAGGATTTTCAGTCAGGGCTGAATCCTGGCGACCCACCGAACAAAACACAACAGAATACTATGGACGAACTTCAAGCCCAAATCCAAACAATGAACCTAGACAGTTTCGATCCGAATGTGAATTTCCCGGAACAACGGTTCATTTAAAACCTCTATTGCCTGTTAATTCGAAAAACTTATACTATATCAAAGACATTACTAATACCTTCAAAATTCTAATAGATACTGGTGCAGGACTTTCGATTTTTAAACCAAAAACTTGCGAAAAATACCGAAAACGTTCTCCAGAAAATATTTCCATTCAAGGCATAACCGACCAGAAAATAATTATAAACGAATCAACTTTAATTCCATTCAAACCTAAAGACCCACATAAAATTTACATTCACAACTTAGATATAGAATTTGACGGACTCCTTGGCTCTGATTTTCTAGAACATTATAATTGCATAGTAGACCTCAAAAATAAAAAACT